ATATTTTCCTAAAACTCTATTTTGATATTGAAGCCATTGTATAATATAGTTTCAGTCTCCCAAGACAATGTACTTTATTCTTAATATAATATTTGATTTCAAAATAGGAAAACATCGAATCTGCGTGACATTTTTTTCCCTACATTGGTATGATTGTCTTATTTTTTATTAATTAATCTAAAATCTATTGTTATATATATATATATATATATATATATATATATATATATATATATAATATATATATATAATATAATATAATAATATATATATAGTATATATATATATATATATATATTCTAATATAATATTTTGATTTCAAAATAAGGATAAACATCAAATTTGTGGTGATTTATTTTCCCTACATTGGTATGCATTGTCTTATTTTTTATTAATTAATCTAAAAATCTATTGTTTTATATATATATACATATATATATATAATATATATATATATATATATATATATATATATATATATATATATATATATATATATATAGATATAGTATAAATATATATAAGTTTTAAAATCAAAACGGTTAACAGGTTGGAATCTAGTCATTCGATTATTACGGTCGAGTTCGAGTATGTATTTTTGACGCTATTTTTAAAACAGGTTGTGGTTTGAGTTGACTGAATTTCGGGTCGGAATCTGAACTCGACCCATCTAACCGTTTTGACACATCGCCTAAAAACAAGTAAGACAATTATAACACAATTTTTTTTCTTGAGAAAGTTATCCCATTGCATTGGAATTCTACACATGGAAGATCATAAAGTAGGCAAGAGTTTATTGTGTGTTATCATGCTTGTTAGGCTAATTTAATATCACAATATTACGACAATATTTACTGAACTACATTATTAATTTTTAATTATTCTCTTAAACTGTTTTAAACAATTTAATATCATAACAACATATCATTAAAAAATAAATCTTAATCAAAGCATAATTAAGAACTTTTATTTGATCGCGGTGAACGTACGTAGAGCTACGTTCAACCGCACTAAGATCGCAAGTACAAAAAGAGAAATCCGAGCAAATACCGAGCAATACCAATAATAACGAGAAATATCATTATGTGAAGACAAAATAACGAGTAATACCGAGCATACCGAGTAATACAAAAAATATCGCGAGTTTCTCTAGAAAACTCGGTATTTTTATTGTATTTTACTCGGTATTGCTCAGTATTGCTCGTATTACTCGTATTGGTCTTCCCAGAGTGGTAATTCCTCTATTATCAAACATACCTAGCAATACCGACCAAATTCGAAGCAAAAATGAGTAACAATCCTTTGACCGAACGTAGATCTACGTCCGTCAGAGGACGTAATTAAACTCGATTTTTGCTCGATTATTTGGTCGGTTTTGCTAGTATGTTTGATAATAGCGAGGAATACCATTCTGGGAAAGACCAATACCGAAATACCGAGCAATACCGAGTATTATCAAAAAAACACCCAGTTTTTCCTAGAAAAAAACTCGTATTTTTGGTATTACTCGGTATTACTCAGTATTTTGTCTTCCACATAATGATATTTCTTGTATTATTGCTTCGGTATTGCTGCGTATTTTCTTCGTTTTGTGGCCTGCGAATCTTAGTGCCGGCCAAACGTAGCTCTACGTACGTTCACCGGACCAAATAAACCATAATTAAGGAGAGTGCCTTACAAGGGCATTGCCTCTTTGAATGTTTTAAAATATTTTTATATATCATATATTTTATTTATATAAATAGAATTTTTTAAAAAATATTGAATTAATATCTCTCTAAATTTTTAGGATTTTGAATTAAAAAATATCCTGAACAATATTAATGATTATTTAAAATTCAAAAAAAAAAAAAAAAAAATTGGCCCCGCAACTTATCTTAATGAATCAAAAGGCTAATTCTTTTTCATTTTAACTCCTTTTATTCCTATCTTAAAATAATCAAAAGGCTAATACAATAACGCATTCACTAATTACTTCCTAATTATTTAAACAAAATAATTTCTTTAGCTTAATCCTTCCTACTTAGTCTAATTAATTAAATCAATTTAAGATCAAAACCATTAATGAGCATCTAATTGATTAGCCTACCAAATTTTTAACTGAACATTAATATGCTTAATTTAATACTTAATTACAATTAAATCTTAATTAATCAATTAGTCGACGCATTTTCAAAACAAACGAACATATTAACCTTTATAAACAAAACTTCTTTTCTTTCTTCTTACGGTATGAAACTCTATAAAATTATTATTTTTTATATCCTAAAATGCAAAATGAAAAAAAAAATGTAGCATAAACAAATAGGGCCAAAAAATTTAAATTGTTCAAATTATTACGCTAATTGTCTAAGTAATATATGAATCAACCCATTAAATAAAAGATGGAGAGGATTAAATAACAAGTTTTATTCTAATTTTTGTTATTTTTTTATTAAAAATTCATGAAGGATAAAATCATAACAGGTTGAAATATGAAAAAATAATAATAATAATAAGTTTCACTATCCTTACATAGAGATTAAGAAAAAATAGGCACAAATATTTTTAAACAAAAATTATAAAAAGACTCATTATCTAAAGGGAATTTATTTAAAAAAAACACGAAAAGTTGGAGCGCATGCAGTAATTAAGATTTATTATATATTATTAGGAAGAGCTTAAGCAGGATTTTGAGCTCGTTGGGCTTATCGAGCTCGAGTTCGAATAGTCGTCCACTCGGCTCGATTACTCATCGAGAAGCTCACGGAAGGCGGAATGGGGGCTAGTGGAGGCGGAGCGGCAAGCGGCGAATTCGAAGCAGGTGTCGCGCGTGCCGAATCTGAAGCGTTCGCGGTAGGGGCCGAATCTGAAGCGTTCGCGGCGGACGACGAGCTTGATTTCGTGGTGAGTCGAGCTCAAGCTCAACTTTTGAGCTCGACTCGAGTTCGAGCTCAAGTTAAGCCTGACTCGAACTCGGCTCAACTCGTTTACACTCCTAGCATGAATTCAATCAAATCGAGTTGATTCAAATTCAAAATTAAAATTCTGCTTAATGTACCAAAAAAAAGTCATATCAACAAATATAAATATAAAATAGAATGAAAAAAGAAACAAAACTCCAATAGAGAAGGTGATCCTGTATAACTAAAGCATTACGTCTCATGCAGATTCTAAAGAGGCGTGCTCCTGCGAAGCAAGTGAGAAGCTTAGCCATATTTATAACGTTGTCGTTCAGCTTCAGTTGCGAGTTGGATAATCACTCATCTGTACATTTGATTGAGAAGTAGATAAATATTAAACATAATTAAATATGTTGAATTAAAATTTATTTAACTGCCAAAAATTTTTTAAGCATAATTAAATATTGAAACTTTGAATTCAAATTTATCTATAAATAATTAAAATATTACTGGCAAACACAAAGTGAGACGGTTAAAGAGGAATAATTATTAGGTCCGGACACCTGACGTAGCTCTACATACATTCGGAGGCTAATAATATGTCGCCACGTGCTCTTACTTTTTACCGCGCAGCCCGACGAGCCGACCCAGACTGGAAACCAGTATTGCTATGTTTGGGAATTGCTAGGTATTGCTAGGTATTGTTCGGTATTGCTAGGTATTGCTTGACAATAATGAGAAATACCGCTCATTCAAGAACAATACCGAGCAATACCTAACAATACATAGCAATACTGAGCAATACCTAGCAAAATCGGGGTATTGCTAGGTATTGTTAGATATTGCTCGGTATTAATTGCTAGGTATTGAACTTAATGGAGTGGTATTTATCATTATTGTCGAGCAATACCTAGCAATACACAAATCAGCCAATACATAGCAATACCGGGTCCGGGTCGTCGGGCCGCGCGGTAAAGAGTAAGAGCACGTGGCGACATGTTATTGGCGTCCGAATGTAGAGCTACGTCAGGTGTCCGAACCTAATAATTATTCAGAGAGGGGAGAGAGAAACAAAGAATTAGAGAGAATAACTTAAACTTTTTTTTAAAAAAATTAAATTGGACTTAAGGTATGTTTGGACCAACTACGCTTTTTTTATAAAATTGATTATGAAGTTATAGTGGGGAAAATAGATTTTAGTTATTTTGATTGAAAAAATAGCATTCCATGACAGAAATTTTTGAAAAGCAATGAAAATAAATAAATAAAGTAGTAATCAAACAAAATCTGTTTATTGTGTGAAAAGAAAAGTAGTGAACTATCCCAAGCAAGCCCTTAGAGTCAATTAGAATATGTGTAGCTTATGTACCATAAGGAAAAAAGTCGATTTTTGGCCTATTTTTTCATCAAAAATTACAAATTCCGGCTAATTTTCGACGGAATTTTTTTCGTCGTTCAAAAACGCATAGGAAAATGATTTCAGATTGGAATAAGTTTTGTCGGAACTTTTTCCGACGGTTTTCCTGCATTATACCGACAAGTGACTTTTTTATTGATAACAATCTATTATACATTTGCAACCTCTGGCTTCAGATATACATGTATAATATGATTTTAAAATGCCAAAAAAAAAAAATTAAAATATATGAAGGTACTTGGTAAATTTCCCCACATCCCCTCTCCATTACTATGAATCTTCTACCGCAATTAGTGAATATTATTAGAATGTAATTAAATGATGCATTTTCTATTTACTCCGTAACCGGCTAATAGCCTCTATATATACATAGCACTGTACACATTTGCAAGATAACAAAAACATTTTCATTTCTACTTTCTCTGTGTCTCTTCCCTACGGCTTCCTCTGTCTCCCTGCTCTTCACTCTTCTTTCAGAGTATACCCCCTTTCCTTATGACTTAAGTTTCGAGGCAATTTTAGGCTTCATTTGAGACGACTTTTTTATTGTTTTTATTGTACTAAAAAGCTGTTTTGAGAAACAATAAGAAAGCCGTCTCAAACGAAACCTTATTCATGTTGATGCTTATTAGAATAAAAAAGTTATTTATCTGCTTCACACAGATCAGCCAGCTGATCCTTCAAGCTAAAGGCATATTATATAGAAATCCAAGTTGGAACCACTAACCCAAAAGAAAAGGTTCAAATAGCAATTGGAGGAACTGTCAAATATAAAATTTCAGCACAAAGTGGACAAACTCATTTGGCATCATTAGACCACGCTGTATGCAATAACTGGCAGATAAAATGGGAATGGAATTCATTGAATGAGTCATTCAAACTCTCCTCACTGCCTTTAAAAGATATTTATATCTCTCCTTCGATGTTAAATTCAAGAAACTTTGCATTCCAATTGTAAGAGAACCTACAAGTTCTTCATCTCTTCTTGGTCCTGATGAGATCATAACAAAATTTATAGTTGTTTTTAGCTTCAGAATCACTTTTCCTACAAAGTTCCAGAGCCAAAGCTTAGCCTGCTCTTCCTTCTTCAATGGATTTCAAACTGCACTTAGTGGTTGAACATATGGAGGATTTACCTGTGGATAGCCATGACTGCAACGTGATTGCAAAGGTGGAATGGAGAGGGAACGAAAGGAAAGCTGGATTTTTGGCAAGAGGGTTTGAAAGGAAATATACAAGTCAGCAGAAAGTACAGGAAAAGGGCATTGTGATCTGGAATGAAGGATTTGATCATACTTGCAAGTTTAAGAGAGAAAGATCTGGGATTTATAGGAGTTGGTTTATTGCCATTCAAATTGAGGTAAGATGATCAATCATTGATAGTTCCACTAAATATAAGTCAACGGGGCAAAATTTATTTTACCTTGCAAATACTTTTCAAGTTTTTATTTGGTTGTCAAAATTTTGAATTTAGTAAATCCTGGAGTTGTTAGAATTTGAGAGATTTACATCACTTCTCATATTTTTCTTCTTCTTCTTCCTTTAAATCCTAAATCTTGAACTGTCATCAAATAATTTGATAGAATTTAATGGATTTGATCTGTATCATGCCAAACAATTTTCAGAATCAATCATCTCCAGGATTTGTTAAATATGGATTCACAATATTTACTAAATTCTTACTTAAATTAAATCCTAATTGAAGTCAAACAGAGCCTTACAGTATCTATGATCTTCATACAGGAAGTTCAGGAAAGAGGAAAGAGGAAAAATATAGGCAAAGCAAAGGTGGATGTTGTTGAATTTATCTCAAACGTTGAGAATGATAAAATCATCATGATTCCAATCGACTGCAGCATCGGTGGCCATATTTCCGAGGCCATGCTAATGGTAAAATAAAAAAACCAAAGTTCTGTATACACAACTCTGCAAATCCTTCCAGCTCCATGAATCTAATTAGTCTATCATTCCAATTCATGTTTCAGGTCAAACTGCAGCTTATCAAAGTAGAATCAAAAGATAGAAGGCGAGTAACCCCAACACCTGCTCTCAGTCTATGCTTCGTTTCGCGCAGATTTCAACTGAACTCAAGCAGAAAAACGAAAAGCATCCTGGACTCATCGACCAAAACCATGAAGCAAAAAAAAACATCTTTTGCTAGGCTACTTAGTTTGAGCACCAAAAAGCTAGACCAGGAAGGAATAATCAAGCCCAAAGGTCCACCTCTTCTAGCCAATGGATGTGCAGAAGATGGAGACGACATTGATAATGAATGGCACCACCAATCATGTATTCAGTTTTTAACAGCGTTCAAGAAAGTGAAGGTGAGACCAGAAGAAAATTTAAGACCTAAATTTGAAGTTGGTAAATGGGAGAGGACAAAATTAGTAAGCAGAGACGAAAAATTCGAGCTTGCCACTGAAGTGTTTCTTGCATCCATCGATCAGCGCAGTAAAAGAGCTGCAGGTGGGAGTGCCTGCACTGTTCTTGCAGCAGTCATTGCAGACTGGTTGCACAACAATCCAAAGTCTCTACCATTGCAGCGCCAATTTGATGAACTGGTACTCAAAGGATCACTGGAATGGAGAAATCTATGTTCAGAAGAGAATCACAAGGTGAAGTTCTCAGACAAGCATTTTGATCTCGACACAGTTTTAGAAGCAAAAGTCAGGTCTTTGACAGTAGCCACAGAGAAGTCTTATGTAGGTTTCTTTACCATGGACGAAATGCCTGAAGGTTTTGACTGGTTGCAAGGAGATATGTCTTTCGACAACATATGGAATAACATCCTATGCACTGATGTATCAGAGGAAAGAATATATATTGTAAGTTGGAATGACCATTTCTTCGTTCTGAAGGTAGAAAGTGACGCCATTTATCTGCTCGACACGTTAGGAGAGCGGCTATCGGAGGGATGCAACCACGCATACATTTTGAAGTTTGATGCAGAAACTTCAATTTACAGGCATAATAAAGATGATAAGGAAAGGAGTTCAAAGGATTTAGTAAGTGAAGGAATTGCAAGTTGTAAAGAATATATTAAAGGATTCCTCTCAGCAATTCCAATAAGAGAACTTCAGCAGGATATTAAGAGTGAACGGGCAAAAGAAGAGCTTCTGCACCGCCTGCTGCAAATAGACTTCCACTACACTGCTCCAGCTTGCACTGGGAAGACTGACTGAAACTGAACAAGCTAGAGGATCAAAAACATATAAAAATTTGTTTTGGTATTCCTCTTCAACATCGATCATTCATACTAACCATATCTCAAAAGTTTTGTGGCTTGGTTTGTTAATTCTTTTTAATTTGTTCCTCATTACTTGAGTACTTCATCAGCTGGTGCAATCCTATTTTAGCCTAATCATTATACTAAAGGATAGAGATGAGATGTTTGTTCTTGACACCAAAAGTATACTAATAGCCTGAAGGTTCCTCTGGCTCCGTATTAATACTGAAATTCAAGCAAAAAAGTTTGAACGGCCTAAATAAAGCCTCTGGAATTGGAGTCGAATTTTCTGTCCAGGATGAAAAATTACTTGGAAAAAATATGTATAATAATCAAAGAATATACAACGAGTGGCATGGGGAGATAGTTTATCATGAAGGTGAACAAATTGCTAATCGATTATTGACTACAGAGAAGTGTGGATAAGACACAATGAAATAGGTAATAAGAAGAAAGAACCACATATCCCCAAAGCTGGAGGAGATGATGATTTTAACGTTCTGAAACTCAATTTTCTTGAAAGGCTAGGATTTGATGGAGATTAGCAAGACTGCAATACAAGAACGAGATAGATATGTTTAAGGAGGATAGACAACGCAGTGTGCGGGAGTATTCTGGCAAAATATATTTTCAATCCAAAAGCATGTCTGGCCATGAGTAAGGAGAAATTATTCTGTCGGATGCAGCTCTACGTTTGGAGGCGAATCAGGTACAGCCACATCAGCTGTACCGAGCCGCAGTACATAGCGAAGGGGTGACGTGACATATTATGATTGGTCTCCAGACGGCATTTGGCGTCTGCACATAATAATTTCTCATGAGTAAGAGCCAATAACTTGTAAAAATAGAGCACTTTTGAATTATTCAATGTGAGACTAAATGTTGTTACTCCATGTACTTTAATGATCTTTTCATTTCATGATGTCTCTTCACATTAGTCATTATTGTAATAAGACTAGTGATGGAATATGTTAGCTGAAAATTATAATTATAAAGATACTATGGGCATTGACAAAAATATCAAACAAAATATTAAATAACTTCCTTAAAGTAGTACTTGTATTTTCTACACCAATTTAAAAACAAATGTAAATATCACCAAATTACAATGATTTTTTTTACCTTTAAATGGAAATAATTTTAACCATCACAATGTCGTAGCTATGATAAGCAATGATTTTAACTGCCACAATAGTGGTGGCTATAATGGTTGCAAGCACTCTCGAAATAATAACATTAAATTGAGCTCCCAGCTCATGCCATCGATCACCTCTAGCTCAAATTATCTCCCTCATTGATTACATTTTTGCTCCCTATATTCAATCAACACCAAAGCTTCAAATCCTCACTTTACATTTGTCAAGTGTACTTTAGATTTTTTTTTTTTTTCATTTACTTATTATTGTAGAGATTGAGAAGTTTAAAGATTATAGGATGAGGCATAACTAGTATGTTTTACCATCATCTAAAAAGAGCAACAAAAAGAAAAACAAAAGGGTGAGAATGTCTTGATTAATCATGATGGGTTCTAAGATTTTTGAATTTGTTTTGTGATGAGAGTAATATAAAGGTTGATTAATTAATCTATGAATTACATCCATCTCAAAATAAATCTATAAGTTTTGAAAAAGATTTTCATGCTTTATCCTGCGTTATTTTTATATGAACTTATATAGAACCTTAACCCAGTGAATTTTGCATGACTAAAAAGACAAGGATAATTTGAAAATTTTGGAGAATTGCTAGAAAATGTTCCAGATAATAGGGATGTGTCATTCTTCCTGAAACTCTAGATTTTATAAATTTGGCACATGGTATTTTACACGTTGATGAGAAAATGCTTCTGCAGAGTCAAAGCGGAAAGGAGAGAACAAAGAAAGAGTTTAGGATGTTGGACAAATATATTTGGATTTCCTAGTGTCAATGTGTTCTGCAATTTTTCTAATGCTTGGATAATAGAGTTCAATAAATAGTTCACTATATTCTATATTGTAAATGGATAATCTACTAGTTGTGTTGAAATATTATCGACATGAATATAATATGGCTATTGAGTTTTTATTTGTTTTTTTTTTTTTTCTATGCCTCTAAAGCTATGTCATGGTATAAGGAAATCTCATGGGCTTCATAATAAAATAGTTCTATGTTGTTCAACAAGATGTTAGGTTATGGAGGTCAAAGAAATGTTTATGATAGAGGGATTAGTTTCAGAAAAATGATAAAGAATTTAGAACAAAAAACTTTACCAATGAGATACGATCCTCCAAACTAACCCCAAAATCAAGAACATACAGTTATAGAAGATCCTCCAGTGCCTAAATAGTCTTTTCAGACTAATCGTCTTTACAGATGAAAAGACGTACATAAGTGCAACTTCGTACTCAATCCCTGTTGAATACCACTTCATATATGAAGATAATTTTGTCATTCCAAGATACAATCAATTTCAGCACACCGTATAATATGATAGTATATTTGATATATATTCATGCTGACATGTCTACTAGATCAATCTATCGAATCGAAATGAAATGAGCATACTTTATTAGTTTATCAACGACAACACAGATAGCATCATGCCCCTGCCTCAATCTGGAAAAACCCATAGCAAAATCAATCGTCACCTCTTCCCATTTCCACTCTGGAATAGGCAACGACTGCAGAAAATCACCCGGTCGCTAATGCTCAACGTTAACTAACTGACATTCCTCACACCTTAAAATAATCTCCATTATATCATTCTTCAATCATGGCCATCAAAATATACCCTTAAAATCTCCATAAATTTTGTTACTTCCAAGATGAATAGTATAGTCTGAATAGAGAGCCTCATGGAGAATCTCCCGCCTTAAATAAGATATGAAAGTCTATCCTTGTAGAAAGTAATACTAAAATAAAACAACTCTTAATTCAAAATTTGTATCAGATATAATTTGATCAATCAACTTAGGATATTCTAAATCTGACTTCTGAGCTTTCTGAAATTTTTCTTACAAAGAACACTGAATGATTATTTGTGCCAATATACAGGAATCCTAATCAATAAAAGAAATCACCTCAAACTATAATCTTTTCATATCTCGTTTTAAGTACTCATCACAAGTGAGCTGAAGAAATAAAGCTCAAGAAGATTTCTTGCTTAAAGCGTATGCCACCACATCAGTTTTACCAAGCTGATACTAAATAGTCATATTATAGTCTTTTGATCAACTCAAGCTACATTCTTTGCCTCAGATTCAGATCCTTCTACGTGAATATATACTTTAGACTCTGATGATTAGTAAAAATCTCACCCCTAACACCTTACAAATAATATCTCTAGATTTTTAAGTAAAAACTACAATAGCAAGTTTCAGATCATGCATAAGATAGTTCCTCTCATTTGGCTTCAATTATTTTGAAGCATAAGCTATAACTCTATCATGTTACATCAAAATACACCCCAACCCTCTCAATGAAGTGTCACTAAATACCTAAAATTATTCTTCAACTGATGAAAGAGCCAAAATTAGAGTAGAAGTCAAAAAATCTTTCAATCTTTGGAAGCTAGCCTCACACTCTAGTGTCTAAATAAAAGCCACTAACTTTTATGTCAGTTTCATCAGAGATACAAAAATTTGAGAAAATCAATTCAAAAACTTCTTGTAATATATAGCCATATCTAGAAAATTGCGTACCTTAAACACAGTAATAAGTCTCACCAAATCAGTGGTTGTCTGAAATTTTTGGAGATCTACAGAGATATCAGCACTACTCATCACATGCCCCATAAAAGTAATACTCTTCAACCAGAACTCATATTTGGAGAATTTTGCATATACTTGATGATGCCTCAAAGTCTCCAAAATAATCCTCAAATATCTGACATGATCTTCCTTTAAAGCAAAATATTCCAAAATATCATCCATGAAAATAATAACAAACTGATACAAAAAATATCTAAACACTCTATTCATCAGATCCATAAAGACGAATGATGTATTCGTCACCCCAATGGCATAGCTAAGCACTCATAGTGTTTGTACCACATACTGAAAGATGTATTCATCACATCAACCTCTCTCACATTCACTTGATAATATCCTAATCGCATATCAAAATTTTAAAATACTGAAGATTCAACAAAGCTGATTGTATAGATCAATAATCTGTGATAAAGGATACTTATTCTTAATAGTGACTTTGTTTAACTTCCTGTAGTCAATACACATACGCATTGTATTATCTTTTTTCTTCACAAATAAAATAGGTGCTCCCCACAAATACACACTAGGATGAATAAATTCCTAGTCAACCAACTCTATCCTGAAGCTGAACCTTCAACTCCTGAAACTCTTTAGGTGCCATCCTATATAGAGCTTTAGATATCAGGGTCATACCAAAAAATATATCAATATAGAACTCTGTCTCTGGAGGTAAACTAACTAACTCCTTATGAAATACATATGAAAAATCTCATACTGCTGGGACATTAGAAAGAGAATCATAATATATACTCATATCCCGGAATGAAACTATGCTCTACGGCCTAAAAATCAAAGGTTATATTTTCTCTCTTATAACTTTTTCTCAGAAACTTTTTAATTCCCTCATTGTTAGCTAAAATGAATAGGGTAAAAGAATAAAAAGCTTATTTAATGAAATGGCTTGTAATGGATTTAAATTTTATAATATAATAATAATATAATAATATTATTTATAATATTTTTAGTATAAAATTCTTAGAAATTCTTTTGATAGAAATTGTTTTGAAATTCAAAAATTATAAAAAAAATATTTATAAAATAACTTATTTTGTTTAAAAAATTATGATGAAATCAATTTGTAAAATGGGCACTTGACGGTCTCAAAATTGATAGTTGTACCGACAGGTGTCAAATTCTTAAAGAATTTCACCATTGCCGAAAAATTATGAAAAAAATTAGGAAAGTTAAAGCACAATACTATGTATGCTATGATTAGGATGATTTTTTATTTGAACTTATAATGATTCATGAAATAATTTTTGTTTATTATAGATAAAAAATATTCTTAAAAAATTAAGGGTTTTCAAAAAACGCTCAACCTCTCATTTAAAAAAAATGAAGATGCTTTTGTATATAATATATTTTTATTTGAATACATATATTTTTCATAAAGAAAGTTTAATTTATTTTTCATCCAAATTTTAATTAATTAATCAAGATAAAATTTAATTATGAACCCATATGACTTATCTTTAGCATTCAATTTAATTATGACTCCTACTAAATTTCTTTTATATATTTTACTCTTGATATTTTTTAGTACAAAAAAAAAATCATCTTATGAATATCTTATAACTCTTTTTATATATATTATTTTAAAATAAAACCAAATCCCCACTAGCCTCAGGAATCCCTCAATCCCTCATCGCCTGAATCCCCGATGGGGAGCCCAGTATAGCAGTCTCAGGCCTGAATCCCTAAAAGTCAAAAACCTCTAATTGCAGGCTTACAAGTCGCATTACGAGGTCGCCAACAGGATGGTTGAATCCCCAACTAGTTAGTCATCCGTGTAAGGATCACCATTTGTCAGCTCCCTCAGATTCTCGTCAATGTCGTTGTATAAATTGCTGGAGGTTGGCATAAGCGAGGTCTGTCCCTATGGATTTTTCAGGACAATATGGGGCAAAGATGTCGTCGCCGGTGATTGTGAACTTCTTGTGGTTGGATTTACTCCCAAGATTAAAAAAAAGTCTCAATTTTTTTAATTCCAAGTGTCGACTTTATTAAAAAAATCCTATTTTTTTTCTATATTACCGTTCAAAATCGAAGTAGATCAAGTCAAGCGTAAGCTCAAATTGGAAAAAAAATATGTATAGAGACTTTCAATTTAATTATTTTAAAGATTTTTGCTGATGCAAACATTAGTTAGAACATTATCTTAATTCAAAATATTATTTCAATTTCATGTAGCATCGGGAACTTCCAATCATGCAGCGTCAGAAGACGGAGATCGGAGATCCCAATGCCTCCTTTCTCTTTCTCCATCCGCGTCTTCTTGTCCTTTCGTATGGCCTTTCTTTGCTTCCTGTTTCTTTCTCTCTCGCTAGCTTCCTTTCTCTGATTCTCGACTCTGCTGTGAGAACCGAGAAGAAGCCGAGGGGAGAGATGTTTGGTGTGGGAAGGACGGGTTGTTTTCTTTGTTGCGAAGTTAGCTGCAAGGAGAGTAAGAAGGATCACATCTTACAGCCATCGGGTATTAGAATTTCTCTTCATCTTAATCCATTTTGACATAGTTCTTGGATTTTATTCTGCTTGAAGCCGAAATGTTGGGAACTTTGGCGAGGTTTTTGTCTTCAGATTACATCGATTCCAGTTTGGATTGATTTGGATTGAGCTTCGAGTGTTCTTTTGATCAAATGAAACAGTTTTTGGTTTTGATTGGTTTTCATTTGCTGCTAGGTTCTGATACTTTTTTAGGCTACACATATTTTGTGGTGGCTTTTCTTTGCTTCGAGTTGAAATGATTGCGTTGGGTTTTATTGATGTATATGGTTTGGCTGTTTCCACTTGTTTTGGTTGTTGTTGGATTTTTCTTTTTTTCTTTCTACTAGATTGTTGCAGGTTTAATTATTTTAGTTTTAGTGAACGATTGGGATATGACTCCTTTTAAATCAGCTTCATTAAGTGCTTCACATGTCAGGCCACTTAGCTTCTCCATTAGCATTCTGCACAAGCAACAGGTTTTACTTAAGAGAGAGGGAATGTTCTGAGACAAAAATTTGCTAACTGCTATTTGGAGGAGTAAATCAACATTGAAGATGTTTTGGGATGAGTGAATTGCATGAAAATATGCTTAAAATCAATCAAGATTTGCATTTCACTCATCTAAAACACCTTCAGTAGTGATTTAATCCCTTCTGATAGGAATTTTGCTTATGACATCTTGATCCAAAAAGACAATTTTTGAATTTTCTTCTTCTGTGAGGAGAATGACTATATTCTCCTCCCAATTTTACCTTGCATCTACCATTTTATATGATTTTCAAACTCAAGGTAACCACTTTTGATCTTGATCCATAACATAAGAATTTTGTGTGGATCGAGCTTCATTAATTGTCATGATAATTTAACTACTCATCAAGCATAGAAAAGATACAAAGATAATTGAACAACATATAGATGCTTTTTTAAAGGGCAAAATTTACTTATGTATTTCACCAATCAAATTTTTTTAGTGCAAGCACGATATTAGTCTAAACCATTTGCAAGTATCCAACCTTTGAAATCACAATTATCTTATCATGTAAATTTAACTATTCATTCTTAAAAATTTGATGCTTCCGATTGATGATCAAATGATCTTAAATATTATTTAAACCTTGATGCTACTGATAGATCAGTTTATTTGATTGTGAGGGAATTAAGAAGTTTCCTAATCAAGAGAGAGCTATTTAGAAAAGTTCTTAATCAAAGGAAATTAATTAGGAGATGTTTCCTAATTAAAGAGAGCATATTTGGGGGCTAATTAATTAGGAAATATTTCATAATTGAAGAGGGCAGATTTGTGGGCTGATTTGGAGGGTATTAATTAGGAAATGTTTCCTAATTGAAGAAGAGATTTAGGGGATGCTTTGAGTGCTGTTTTGGGAGGGAAAATAGGAGGGAAATGGGGGAGATATGTTTGGGTATTTACTGTTTATTGTTTTCTTTAAATACTTTATTTTCCTAGGGTTAGGAGGAGGTGTTGTTTGCTGAAATTAGATTGTTCTTAGGGTGTTTGGGCTCTAGCTGGCGGCTAGGGATTTGGGAGAGCCGGATCTTCCTCTCCAATTGAAGATCCACTAGTATATTGTCATTTCTTTCATAAAACCTTCAATAAAAAAAGTGTTTGTTTGTTTTATTCCTGATTTTCTTGTCGTTGGTTTTCTGAAATTGTTGAAATCAGATTTCAGCCAAGGATTTTCCTAAATTTCTGCAAGCACTTCCTAACAGCTACTAGTGTAATGATGTTAAAGAAAATGGAATGTTTTGATCTTGCACTTCAAAGTACTAATATCAAAATCTAATAGGGAGTATGATGGTGATTCTGCTAAGAAACTATTGTAGCTAGCATGGCAGCTCATGTGCCCTCAACTTCAGAATTATTGTATAAATCCTTAAACAATTTTTATGACTGAAAACTGAATTCTCACGTTGAACCTAAGTAGAATGTGTAGATTTTTATAATTTATTCCATGCTCCTACATTTAAAAAGGATCATTGGCAGCTTAAACACTAGGATAATTTATTGTTTAAGTCTCATTTGATTTCTTGCAGATGGAAAAAATCATTAGAAAGTGGCGACATTATTTTCACTTGTTTTGTATGTGAAATTGAAGTTCTCATTTCTGAGAAATTTTGAAAGTGTTTGTAAAGCTTAAATTTCATATTGTTTTCTAGTTACATCTAACCAAATGATGGAATCTAGCAAACTCATTGTTTTTCATAACATTTATTCCAACTTCAAGCAACCAAATAAGCCCTCGGGTGAATTTCTTGATCGCTAATTAGTATGCTTGGTGATCCCTTCATTCACTCATCATTTGGGTGAATTTCTACTGAACACAGTATTCATGTATGTGGGAACTTTTTTTTCCTTTGTTTTTTTTATTATTGATGACCTTTAATAAACGTATACTTGCCCTTCATTAGTGAAACAACATCTGATCTTCATTTCTTGTTAATTTGCTTAGCAAAGAAGTCGACAAAGGAAAGCCATCCGGATGATGAAAATAATGGTCCTTTGAAAGACATGGGGGTGCTGAGAAATGGGTCTCAACATGTTTCCGCTCAGATATTTACTTTCCCGGAGCTGCTAACTGCAACCAAGAATTTTAGAGCTGATTGCTTTCTAGGAGAGGGAGGGTTTGGAAAAGTTTATAAAGGTTTGCTGGAGAGCTCTAATCAGGTCAGTTTATAATTCTGTTTCTTGGTGTTTATCTTTTTTTTGTTGTTGCTAGAAAGCTCTAGATTTTTTTTTTTTTTTTGGAAGGAACATGAAAGTTTAAACTTAGAAGGAGCTGCTACGTGTTTTTTTTTTCTTTATGTAATTTGGATGCTTTACTTTTCTATGAGCAGACAGTTTTATTTAAATGAATTCTCACTTTATCTAAGTTGGCAAGTTATCTTTCATAACTTGTCGAAGACACAAATTGGATTGTTATGTGTTGACCTCTGCTCAGATAGCCAAGAGAAAAAAAAAAATTGCTTGAATCATACCTGTCTAAAACCCTGCCCGCATCAGCCGCTCGCTACAGTCGCCCATCTCCTGCAAATGGTGTCGCTTCATGCCCCGTGTGCGATTACTTGTTCGCGGCGTTAAAACGAGAGCGAACTCACACCTTCTTCGGTTCTTCCACAGTCGAGTTCTAGCCACTTCCTCCTCTTCGTTTCTTCTTCCCAAATCCCGCAAGCCTCACGTGAGACCTGTCTGATCTCCCTCCACCAGGTCGAACCCACATGACCTCAAGCCCCGATCCCATTCTTCCTCACGACTCCAATCGAATTGCTCTCGCCTTCTTTCCCATTTCACTACTTTTTCACTTCTTTTCTCACGCACGTAAACCCCAAACAGCCGCAACTTCTCTTTCTGATCTTCCGCATGTGCACGGAGCCGAACTCATGCCTCTTCGACCTAATCGACCCGACCCCACAGCCTTGTCCGATCACATCCCACGCCAATCCAACCATTTTCTATGCTTCTTCTTCCCAAACCTAAGGTCGAACACATCCCCTCCACTTCCGTCTATGCTTTTAGCTGCGATCCGAGCTTTCTCCTATCGTAAATTTTCCTCGATCCCATCGCCTTCATCCCGTCGAACCAAGCCACAAGTCCACACAAACCTGACCTAAATCTCCTCAACCCTTCATCCTGTCGAACTAAGCCACAAGCCCTGATGAGCGTGTCGTATTTACACACATGACATTTGAGGATATTGCACGGTCAAGAAATGAACTTAAGTTCAATTCCAATCTTTCTCCGTGATAGGACGGAAGTTGACACGACTTAAACCAATGAACAAATATAAGGTCGCGGCATCGATCGGGATATTTGATTTTATACGTTCATATTAGGCCTTCAAGGCCCGTAAACAATGAAAATTCACCAACAAAGGCATAAAGCCCACAAAAGACCCAATCCTCTATGGACAAGTCGACAAGGTTCAATCAATAAAATGAAATTCCTGTAAATGCCCTGATGATGACCATGTTAAACGTAGATCTCAACCGAATGAGTTAATTTCAAATATTCAAAATGTCACCCAAATACTTGCATGGGCCCCGACGAATGTATTACGAGAACTGGAAACACACGTGACTTCTAAGGATACTGTGCAGGTCAAATGATAAATTTAAGTTCGAGTCTGATTCTTCTATATGAGTGGATAGGAGTTAACATGACTCGAATTATCAAATAAATATATGGTCACGACGTCGACCGAAATATTTATTTTAATATGTTCATATTATGCCTTTAAGGCCGATAACAATAAAAATTCACTAACAAAGGCATAAAGCTGGTGAAGAATCCGATCATTTGTTGGCAAGTAAACAGAATCGACAAGGTTCAATTAACAAATAAAATTCCCCAATATTATCTGGTGCAACCTAAGAATCCTAATCTAAGTAAGAGAACACTAGGTATGCAAAGGAAAAAAACACCAAACTAGAATTGAAAAAAAAAAGACATTCATTTCAATATGACAAATACAAACACTAAACAGAACTCAACAAAGTTTTCAACTTCTAATAGAAATCACTTACAAGTTATATTAGAATAAGACACGACACAACTTAAGACTTACAATAATTTAAGAAAAGAAAAATATAGATGAGGCGGGAACCGTGGAGAGGGAAGAAGAGGTAGAAAACCGAGACGAAATTGTAGTGGGAAAGGAGAAAGGAGGCTAACTCGCAAGCTAGAAAAACTCGCAGGTTTGTAAACAAAAAATCATTCCATTCTCTTCTAAAAACTGCAGTAAAATAGCCCCATTTATAAAGAAAAAACAGCCAACCACTCACATTAATGAGCCACCCCAAACATCCAATAGGAGCCAACACAAAACTTAGGAAATAGCATAGGGAAGGGGAATGACCAACATAGGAAATTAGCAAAAAGCAGTCCAAAAAAGCATAGGGAAGGGGAACGGCCAGCAAAGGAAACCAGAAAAAAATAAATTCCAAGCATTTGGAAAACCAAAATCTATATAGAAACTCAGTACGAAATCCAATAGCCACTAAACAATCCGAATAAAGCATAGAACACTAAACAATCCGATGACGATTGCAGAGGATGAGCTTATGAAGAGTAGGAAGAATGCCTTGAACAGAATTCACAAGGACTGGAGACTATCCATTACTGATTAATACTTGGTTAGAGCCTTCATATTATTGAACTTGTTGTAGCTTATTTATATCAGATGTGACGTAAGCCATGGAACATGAATTTAATTACCATTGAGGAGTTGCAAAAGCCTGAGTTGCAAATTGCAATGAAGGTCTATTGTGGAGTTGTAGGAGCAATGTAGTTGAGATGAAGGCTTTTAAAATCGGACCGGTCAATGAACCGGAAGGAGGGGTTAGAGGTTTGATGGTTCGACCTGGGTCGAACCGGATGACGTAATAAATATATATTATATTTAAATATTATAATAATGACACAAATATTTATAAATATATAGCAAAATTTGAAGAAAATTATAATACTTTTACTTATCTAAGACACAACCAATCATAAAAAGATGCAAAATTACTTTATACCAAGTGATAACAAAAACATAACATATTCATAATTAAAATCAAAGTTTCACTTTCTCAATTCAATAGTTTCAAAGATCTCCTAAATTAGCATCATCAAATCTATCTATATAAGTTGAGTCTCCAGGTAATCGCTTCACCAAAATATCAAACTCAAATGCATCGATTGATCGAGCCCGGTTATGTCTCCTACATCTCCTTCATTCTCTAAATCACCTTCACCAAACAAATAAAGAAATAAAATAAGATATTATTTTTGCTTTCAATTAAATAATATATTCAAATTTCATTGTCAACTTACAATGTCCTGGTTGATCAAATGATATATTTTGTTCTTCAACAACTGGAATTGCATCCTCTTTGTATATCTTATTTTCCAAATCCTGTAAGTCAAGTTCTGGAGTTGTTTCATCTTCAAGTATCCAAAAACAACCATTTCAACACAAGTGTAGTCCAGAGGTCATAATGTCTTTTTTTAAGTTGAATACCTAATTATATAAATAAATAATTTTATGTTAAGATTATACATACTACTTAAATTGACACTTGTACATTAATTTAATGTAGATCATACCTATTCTTTAAATTCAATTATATCGAACATATACAAACGTTGAGTCGTGATGCTGCCAAATAATTCCGCTCTTTGAGTGAGTCTGTTCAAAAAACACACCAATTTCTTTCGCATCCTGATGAAGATGATGTTGGCTGAGAATCTCTTATAGCAACTTTTGCAAGTTTGGAACATGATCCAAATATCTTCCACCACTCATCTACATATTATCAAGTTTGAGAGTTTAGGAATAAGCATATTTATATAAGTATATACAATGTTAAAAGTAAAAAAGAATAATACAAGGTTGCATTTCTTTCGCATTGTCATGCAATTGGTTTTCCAAAGCTTTCAAAGCATCACGAAATAATCTAACTTCATTCATTGCAATGGTGTGGCTAGAGCAAATGTCTTTATTTCCAATTAATCAACTAAACCTGTAAATTCTGGCTTTTAACAATAGTCCTCTCTATCATATTGAAAATGAGGATTGAGAAAATATGCTGCTGCATGGATGCCTTGTCTTAATTGAGTATCCCATCTTCTTTTTATTATAGTAAAAGGCTTATATGATCTCTTTACATTTCGTGAACATTAGCTTATTATGCTTTTCTGCTTCTATACATTTGCTCATCATATAGATATCCAATGAGACTGTATTTCATCAGAGTCAACAATAGCGCAACATCTAATCAAAGGGGCATGCTATCTTTGAAATAATATAACAGTTATCCCAAAACTTCCAAGTCAAAATGAATTGAAACTACCCTCTTTTCCCTTGGAAGTTTTGGATATCTTTGAATCCACAAAGATCTTGCTTGTGATTAGTGCTTGTAGGTCATGATGATGCTCATGCACACTTTTCAAAGTTATAAATGTTGTTGCAAAATAGGTTGCTCCAGGACGTACGATCTCCTTCCAATCTGGCCTTTTCCTAAGCCATGCAAGTATGAATATGTGATTATAACAAAAAATTGTCAACTTTGATGCTTTTTTTGCTAGGTCCTCTATGAGCGGCATACTGCCAATATCTTTCAAAATTAAATTCATACAATGGGCGGTACAAGGAGACCAGTAAATATTATTGAATCTGTCATGTAATAGTTGACCTGCCTTTTTGTAATTAGCTGCATTATCAGTAACTATTATTAAAGAAAAACTTCAGTCCGGTCTGGTCCGGTTTTAAAAGCCTTGGTTGAGATTAGCTTGACGCTCACACTATCACAACTTAAGCCAATATATTGCTGCAGGCCAGCTGGGCTATGAGCGCAATGGGAACGGGCTTCCCCAAAAGCCAACTCGGGTAACTTATCCAATAGATACTATGTTGGATGATGACAGACCAAGTCTAAGATATAATTTGGAGAACTTTTCAAATTTCTTTAATTATTAACAGACAATAGAGCTACTAATTAACTTATAGTGATCAAATATATTCATCGACAGCCTCTTCTCTCATTTATCTTTAAAATATATATACAATAAAATCTCTACAATACATTACATAGCTACAAAAAAAGAGTAAAAAATAGTCGTGACTATACATAATCAAAAAAATAAGAACATGCCAGATGCATTTCTCCACTTCAACTATCCAACTTGAATTCTACTAATATTATCCCCATCTATTTCACTATGACTCTAGACAATAGATCCACGATACCTAAAACCTGTAATCTTATTAATGACTTGATCGCCCAAAGTCACAATCCCCCCATTAGATCTATTACTACTAAAATTATACTCCATGTATTCGATTTTAGATATACTCAAACGAAATCCTTTAGACTCTAAGGTTGACCTCCAAATTCAAGTGTACCTTCAACTCCATCTCTAGTCTTATCAACAAGATAGAGGAATGCATAGGTGTTATTGTGTGATAGAAAAGTATCCCTCAAACTTAAAGGAAAATTTTATCAAATGGTGGTGAGATCTGCAATGCTTTATGGCGCAGAATGTTGGCCATTAAAACAGAAGTATAAAATTACATGTTGTAGGGATGAGGATGCTTAGGTGGATGAGTGGTTTTACACTTAAAATATAATACGAAATGAGTATATAAATGATAAGATTGGAGTAACTCTAGTGGCAAAAAAGATTAGAGGGATTTGCCTTAGATGGTTTGGTCACATAAAACTCTTGTCTTCTGATGATCATGTTAGGTGTGTAGATGTATTAGATCTGATCTATGTTAGAAAATGTAGAGGTAGACCTAAAAGGATTTGGTTAGAAAGTATTAAAAACGACATTTTTTTATTAGCTTTAAATAAGAATTTGACTACAGGGCACAATGAAGAAAAATGATTCATGTAGACAACTCCACATAGTGAAATAAAAACTTGTTGTTATAAATTATCGTTTGGGATGATCAAACTGTATATTGTCCTTACATTAGAAATTATGAGTTTTACCTAAAATTATAAGTTTATAATATGTGGATTGTTTTTTTTTTTTTGGTGTTTTCATCTTAGATCTCATCCTAGGTTGTATGAGGAACCCTAACCATCCAGCATCAAAGGGCAGCAGTATGACACTTATTGCCCGACAAAGAGTTGCAGGAAGCTGCGAGTCACAGAAGGGAAGGAGTTCCACAGCACCAACTTTTACATCAATTGTTCTCATAGTTCTTTTTTCCTTCAATAAAATTACTATTAATGTACTTTAGTGATACCGTTCAAAATGCTTTCTATGTTAAAAAATCATGTTATTTAACGGTGAGATGTTTTGCCTTTCCAAACTCTCTTTACATTATGTTTAAAGTATATATTCTTCTAATAAATTTACTAGCAAAACTATTATGGTCCTGCCCAAAATTCTTAGATTTACTGGAAAATTAAGACGGGACAACTAATTGCTTTGTATTCCTATCCTATTCAAGCCGTTTCTAAGTCTTATTCTACTGTGGTGATTTGTCCTTCAGATTGTAGCTGTAAAACAACTTGATCGAGACGGTTTGCAAGGAAATCGGGAGTTCCTTGTTGAAGTATTGATGCTAAGTTTATTGCACCATCCTAATCTTGTTAACTTAATTGGTTATTGTGCGGATGGCGACCAAAGGCTTATGGTTTATGAATACATGCCGCTGGGATCCTTGGATGTCCATCTTCATGGTATGCTATTAGATGCCTCTTTAGTGTATATTGCAATATGTCTCTGATAAATCTTGTGTGCATTTAGGGGGTTTGGTTTGTTGACATCTGCCATGTAATTTTATGTCATTAAAATAGTAGTTTTGTCAATGACATGTCCTAACTAATAGATGCTACATCATGTGATAGTGAAAATAAATGCCAATAAAAATAAATATCGCAATACATGTTAAACATCCTAGTTAACATAGACTAAACACATTATATTTGATAAGTAACATGGTGTTATGATATTGAGAGTATTGGATTTAATCCCACATAGTATAGGTGAAAACTATTTTGGTGTAAAAATACGGAGTGGTTTGTTTTCTATCATAGACTTGAACTTTGGGTTGAAATTGAGTTTGATTGCCAGTGTTTAAGATTTCGTTTGGGACTACTTTCTTACTGCTTCTTAAAGAAGCTTTTTAGTATAACAAATAAATTTTTTATACTAAAAAATTAGTTTAAGTAGCAGTAAGAAATTCATCCCAAACGAATTGTTTTGGGGCAGCTTTTTTATTATTTTGTTGTCTAGAGAACAATTGTAGTTTTCTTTGTCTATATTAAACGGAGGCCTTCTGATGACTCAGTTAGAAAAGTTGAGGTATTAGATTTGACTTATGTTAAGAAAGGTAGATGTAGACCTAAAAAAACTTAGTTAGAAAATATTAGAAATGATCTTTCTTTATTAGATTTAAATGAGATTTTGACTTTTAACCAGACACAATGGCGAAAAATAATTCTTGTAGCCGACCTAAGTAGTGGGACAAAAGCTTGATGTTGTTGTTGTTGTTTGACTACTATTATATAGCTGTTTTTCAGAATTTTCTACCTTGAGAAGTAATTTTTTATAACTAGATCTATAAAGTGCGTCCATTAGTCCCTCTTTGATCCACAGGCTACAGACAACACTTCTATCTAGATAAAATTGAACTTAGAGCTTTCATATGTTCCTTCCAGGAAGCTAATCTGTATGTCATGCATCTACTGCTATAGATCTTGCTCCAGAAACACGACCACTGGATTGGAATACAAGAATGAAAATTGCTGCTGGTGCGGCAAAGGGACTCGAATATTTGCATGATAAAGCCAGTCCTCCCGTTATATACCGTGATCTGAAATGCTCCAATATCTTACTGGATAACGGATATCATCCTAAGTTGTCTGATTTTGGCTTGGCAAAGCTTGGTCCTATTGGTGATAACACTCATGTATCTACTAGAGTGATGGGTACATATGGATATTGCGCTCCTGAGTATGCAATGACTGGGCAGCTCACAGTAAAATCAGATATTTATAGTTTTGGAGTTGTGCTGTTGGAGATAATCACAGGAAAGAAGGCTATTGATAATTCCAGAGGAGCTGGGGCGCAGAATCTTGTTGCATGGGTAAGCAGCTTTGCCGCCCTCTCAAATTTATTATGGTTTCGTCCCAAACGGCTTTCTTATTGCTTCTTAAAGCAGCTTTCTAGTACAAAAATAAACTTTTTGTATTAGAAAACTGTTTTAAGAAGCAGTAAAAAAACCGTCCCAAACGAAGCCTAAATCTAAGGTTTCATTTGGGACGACTTTCTTTATGCTTCTTAAAGCAGCTTTTTAACATAAAATTTTTAATTTTTGTACTAAAAAATTGTTTTATGAAGTAGTAAGAAAACGGTCCCAAAAGGAGCCTAAGGCTTCGTTTGGGACGGTTTTCTTCTTGCTTCTTAAAGCGGCTTTCTAGTACAAAATAATTTTTGTACTAAAAAACCGTTTTAAGAGGCATGAAGAAAACCGTCCCAAATGGAGCCTAAGTCTTTCAATGTACCAGGAATAAGCTTTCTTCCCGAATTTGTTCATGTAATCATGAAATTTGAGATAATAATCATGAAGTTTATGAAAAGGGATGAAAAATACTAAAATTTGTTGAAATGTTCTCTCATTTGCAGGCGCGACCTCTATTCAGAGAAAGAAGGAAGTTTGCTCAGATGGCTGACCCAATGCTTCAGGGTCAGTATCCAGTAAAAGGTTTCTACCAAGCACTCTCTGTGGCAGCCATGTGTGTCCAGGAGGAACCCACCACAAGGCCTCTCATTTCCAACGTGGTAACTGCGCTAACTTTCCTTTCTTCGCAGATCTATGACCCAGAGAGCCAGTCTGCTGAGAGCATTTCTTCAGCAAACAAATAGTGAAATTATTGTATATCCTTCACAGAACAAACTGTTATCTAGTTTTGTATCATTTGAAGATAACAGCAATTGAAAGTCTTGAAAGGTGATGGTTCTTTTGTTGTTGTAGATTTTAGCTGCTGTACATTCATCAAATCTGTTCATTTCTATTTGGATTAGTCTGCTAAGTGGAAAGAAGCTGTCTTTTGTTGATTCAGAAGATTTCTAGCTTATTTTTTAAGGCACAAAGTGAGGAAAAAATCTCTCATTGGAAAAATTATAAAGCTATGAAAAATAAAAATGTCATTTTGCAATGAAATTTCTCTTTTTTTTTAGTTTTTTATATTTTTTTTTTTGTTGACAAAGAACCGTCCGTTGCCGCCACCGGGCTAGCCAAGAGCGCTTGTCGATGCGTAAATCCTGATCAGCCTAGACAAGCTACTCACATCCATTAGAACTCGTGGCCAACGCTTATTAGGTCCTCTCGAAAGGGGCACTGGCGCCTAAGGGAATCGAATGCGGGTTGGGAGGTACCCAATGGGCTCGCCCACCAACCAAATCAGGGGTGTAAACGGGTCGAGTCGAGTCAAGTTTATACCCTTATCGAGCTTGGCTCGTTAAAATGGAAAGCGAGCTCGAGCCGGCTCGCGAGCTGGCTCGACAGCCATGGGCGGGAATTTTTAAATTTAGGCGGGATTTTTAAAAATTTGAAAAATTAGGCGGGATTTTTAAAACTTAAGCAGGATTTTTAAAACTTAGATAAAATTTAAAAAATATATATGAAATGTTTAACACAGATAGGTATATTTTTAAATATTTAATTTAAAGAAAATAGTATTATATGTATATTTTTAAATAATTAGTTTAAGGATTTTTTTTTTTGAAAAATAAATTTAAATAAAAGAAAAAAAAAATTCCCAAAAAAAAAAAATATTTTTTTTGCTTATGACAGATTTTTTTTATTATAATACTTTTTGCACTATTCTTCTGTTTCCCTCGTGAAACAGTTAGGTCTTAGCTTTCTCGCCACTGCGATCATCCAAAACCTAAGGACAAATCGTCGAACACCTAGCTGTTCTTTCCGCTATATCCGAGCCCAATGCCTTCTCCCTTCTCTGCCGCCGTTTTCCGTGCCATATCCTTCCCCTCCCATCTCCGCTCTCCTTTTCTACAATCCAAGAAAGATCCCTACCATTTTCTCTACGGATCCGTGCGCAAACCCGCCGATGCTGGTCTCCGACGCATTGCTTCGCCGAATTTCACAATAACCTTTGCTATGTATAGGCGTAGAGTGGGAAGTAACGGCACGGCTATATCAAGGAGCGAAAGCAGGCCGGCGGGGATCCGCTCGAGTCGCGCGGAGGGAAAATGGGTGGAGGGAGGAGTGGCGGAGGAAGGAAAAAGGGAAGGAAGAGGACAGGAGATAGATTCTTGTCATCATCATCGGTATAAGACCGAGGGAGTGGAGGAGGAGATGGATGTCGGTTATAAGCAGCTGTTGCAGCAGGAACGAGGTGTTTCTTATTCGAGGTTACTTACGCTGCCGACTGTGCTCACGCTCGGGAGAGTTGCCGCCGTCCCTCTTCTCGTGAGCAGTAGGTTTAATTAGCTTTGATTTTGAATGTTTTTTAGCTGCTATGCATTTTGAATTTTTGATGTTTCTCAACAACAACATTTTGAATTTTTGTTGTTGTTGTTGATGTTTCTCAATTTTTTTAGTAAGGCTGAAGTTGTTTGAAGATAAGTGATATATTTTATGTGCACAAATATATAATTAGTTAGGCTTGATTAAAGCTTAATTGCGACTTGAACTTGATAAGAAAACTGACAAACAAATTTGAAGAAGATTTTAAAAACTCAGAATCATGTTGAATCTCAACTCAAAATTGAGAAAAATAAATGAACGGACTTGAACAATATAGTACTTGACTCCACTGGATTCATTTATAGCCCTAATCTAAGTTAACCCTTATTTAGAGTTTACCTTACCAAAATTTAAGAGAGACTAGATTAGGCTCATTTCTTCTTCTTTTTTTCTCAAATGAGCCTCAAGTGATGGAAACTTGTGTAGCAATTGGAATCTCCTTGTAACATAGAAAATGTCATAGGTTGTTTTGGAGGAACTAGGAGAGGAAGGGGGAGTTATTGGGTAGAGTAGGAAGATAAGAGAGAAATGGGATGGAAGAGGAATAGATGGATGGTATGGGCATGGAATAATAGTAATAATATTTCATCAAATATAAACCATAAGGAACCCTTGTATGTGAAAGACCGTTCATAATTTAAGTCTAAAATACTCAAAAGAACATTCAACAAGTCCGCAATGTCCAAATAATGGAATAATAATGATAATGATAATGAGAATGATCATCATCATTAATCTAGTAGATGCCGATGAGTAATTGTAGATGCTTGTCAGGATTGATAAGAGTTTGAATTCATCATCATCAATAGTAGATGCCCATCAATAATCAAAGCTTGTGCCTCTCAAGATGGATAAAAGGTTGAATACCAATGCTATGTCCTAAAAATTAGGTTTTTAAGTGTTCACCATCCTCAGAATTGAGTAGTTAGCAACCCTCCAGTGATACATTGACCTCCTTTAGTGTGTAATCTTTCACTTATGTATAATATGTCAGAAAACCGAGCTTGATTAAGCATTCCATGGTTTGAGATAGAAAATCTTGATGTTAATTTTGGAGAATCTTTTTTGTTCCTCAAATGTTTTTCATTCTATTTGAAAGCCAAGCTCCTCACCAGTTATCAAATCTTGGTGATTGGCAGTGTTTAGCATTTGCCATTCTATGGGTTCTATTTTTTAAGGACTAATATGGAGAACTCTTTTTGACGAGTCTCTTTTATAAATCCTTCAATTCTTCAGCCTCTTTGCAGCATGATCCGCACCATCTTATTCTTCTATCATCTACTACAGCTTTAAACCGTTCTTTTCCTTTAAGAGAATTTAAATTTTGTTTAAATTGATGCACACAATTTATTAGTACCGATAAGAAATTATTTTAGGCAATGCATATACTAAACTTCAAGATTGAGATAATTGTTAGGGATGCAACTCTGGTTCAGCCAATTAAGTTTGCATGGATTGGCACTCAAAATGTCATGAATTTTATGTTAGATGTTAGTATGATAATATTACAAATGTGTATGTCAAACTATCTTCAATGTAATTTTATTCAAATGTATTCATAGGGAATTATGCTACGTATCATCGTAGCTCAATATGATTTATCAGTCAATCATTGTTTTCAGTTATATATATACTCTCTCTCTCTGCACCAAAAAATAAACATCAACTCAAGAACATCTAATAATTTTCTATAGAGTCGTTACTTTATGGACCCATTAACCCGACTAGCCAATATCCAGAAGGATTCAATCGACCTACATATCCTTACACACATGCATATAATTTCATATTTCAAGCAAGTTTTCAATATGGATTATATAATCAATATGGGAATTGTGATTCTACAACCATTATGATTTACAAGAATATTATGTATTGCATTTCAAATTCAATGGATAAGATTCCATGCATAATAAATCAAGTAAACATTGGCCCTATTACTTGATAATTTTATTGTGCACAATAAATAAGATTTGCTACACATGTATAACAATAAATAAGTATTGATAGCAGGATTGCCAACGTTTAATATCTAGAAAGCTAATACGAGTAACAAGAATATCGTCCCTAATAATGCATAGACCGCAGCCATCTATTGTCAGGCTTAAAACAACAGATAATCTACATTTCTTTGAATATTGTAAGCATGCAAAATGATCATGATGATGTTGATTATTTTGTGCCTTCTATTTTGTTGAAATGGTGATGAAGATAAACTTTTTTTTTTTTCTAATCTACATTTCTGAATCATTTACTGGAAACACTTTTTATCAATGAGAGTTTAACAGGTTACTCTTTTTTTTATCTAGCTTATCACATGAACGGTTCATGGGCAACAAGTACAACTACTGGTATCTTTCTTGTAGCAGCAGTCACAGACTGGTTAGATGGTTATCTTGCTCGTAAGGTGTATAATTTATTTTTCATTTTCTTTACATCTATGTCAACCATCTGCTTCACTAGTGGCAAATATGAATGACTTGTTTTTTAACGTTGCCTGCATAACAGATGCAACTAGGTACAGCATTTGGTGCCTTTTTGGACCCTGTAGCTGATAAGGTTTCTGCTCACTTTTCTTTAATGCTTTATGATTTTGCAACACGTCGTTTCATTCTAAATAGATGCGGGCTCCATTATTTAGCGTATTCTATAGCATGCGCTATTCTGATCTGATACTTAACCAAAATACAGCTTATGGTAGCTGCAACATTGGTTTTACTATGCACTAAACCTCTGGAAGTGGCTTTCTTCGGAGTGGTTTCATGGATTTTGACGGTTCCTGCAATTGCCATCATTGGTAGAGAGGTAATTGCCAAGTAAACAGGTTGTCATCATATATATTCAAGTCTTATCCTGATAACTCTAACTTGCAAATATTTGTTTGTGCAACTTTTACCATATTACATGTGTTCTAATTCTATCTATTTGTCATATTGATGATGCGGCTTTTATTTTTTAATATATATGCCCAAATCATTTGTTTATTTTCATTAAGTGTTAATCCTCTCATCTCTTTAATATAATTATTCTTCATCATCTTTCGTAATTTCAGTTCTTTCATGTTAACATTTTAATTTCGGCTGAAGTTGATTATCAATGACTTATCTTTGTTTTGCATAGAGACATCATAAAAAAAATTCCTCTATTATCGCAGATAACAATGTCAGCTGTCAGAGAGTGGGCTGCTTCTCAAAACAGCAGGGTTCTTGAGGTTCATTTTCCTAGTCTCTAGCTGCTCTCCTTTCTTATGCTTTTACTACCAAAATTCTCAAGTTCAATGACTGAGTCATTATGGGATGCAAATCCTCTACATTTTATACCTGTAATTGGAGAGGTGACGTTGTCTTGTTCAAAATTTCCAATCCATTTTAGAATTAATTATTATGTGCGGATTCCAGACGTCGTCCGGAGGCGAATCACAGCATGTCACATCACTCAATTGCTGGGTACCGGATGATGTGGTGCGCTATGATTCGCCTCCGGACGGTCCAGAATCCACACAGAATAATTTCTCCCATTTTAAACTGTCCGAATTCAATCCGCTCAAGTGGATTGAATCTTGGCAGTCCAAAATGGATGAAATGATTGTTAAGGGGATAATTACAACTCTCCAGCTTCTCCAATCACAGGTGTAACTCATGCTCAAGCATTTACTAAAATGGATCCCTGATGTCAGGCAGTGGCAGTGAATAACCTGGGGAAGTGGAAGACAGCAACTCAAATGACTGCACTAACAATCCTCCTCCTTACCAGAGACCCCAGGTTTCCATTGCTTTCTTTTGACCTAATTCCTGATTTTGGCTGTAATATCCTGGTTCTCATTCTGTTTTGTTGATTTGCTATATCTTATACAGTCTAACAGGACCAGGCTTTCTAGTATCTACTGGAGTATTTCTCCTTTACATTTCAGCTGGTCTTGCTTTATGGTCATTAGCAGTCTACATGAGGAAAATATGGAGATTCATGATCAAGTAGTCGCATTCCTCAAACACATTCAAGAAAGTTTTGCACAGTTATTTCCTCTTTCAGCTGACTGATTGAATAGTTTTTTCAAAGAAACATTTTACAGATTAATCAACTGTTCTTTATTGAATGCTGGTGAAGGTTTTATAATCTTACCTTCTAATCTATGTAGACCAAAAAGTTGGAAAAACATATTTCCCAGAGAGTATCTAAGGAGGTTTTCTGTTCCTGAAAGCTTGTTCAAAGTGAGTGGATGAAGGATCTGATTCTGTTCACATCTGAACAAAATAAACTGTTTTTAAGTTCTTTTTTGATAACTCTTTGTAGCAGCTTATTTTCATGTAGTACAGTACTTTCCTTATTTGATGTACAGTGTTTTTTTATTACAGGTTTTGTAATTTGAAGGGATCAAATGAACCCTAAGTTAATTTAGCCGTTATTTTGTTCAGTGTTATTTGAATAATAATATTCTTAAGGTAATGATGTATTTAAATGGCATTTTAATCTATTAAATGCAGGGTTTTAGTTAAATGCTATTTTGCTAAAAAAATATATAATGATTATTAAAATTATTAATAGTCATTAAAATTTTGTTTTGAAGTATAACAATCTTATATGATTTTGAATTTTGCTCAGCTATGATAGACACATCAGAAGATCTATGGAGACTGCTAACATCAAGAGCCAATCTGCAGCGGCTCTAACATTATTTATTAGGAACTGTAATTTAAATAAGTGATCAAACTTATTTTCCATTACAAAATTTAAATTATAAAAAAGTGCAAATTACTTGAAATTTTTATTTTAATTTATTTGATAGGAGGTTAATGTTTAATTTGGGATAATTTTTTTACTATTTTATTATTATTTTTTTACTGTTTTAAAAAAGAACCGAAAAATTATTTTCTATAACTTTTAAATTTTTTTTTCTATAACAATTTTATAAATACTAAGAAAATTGTTTTCTATGATTTTTAATTGAATTTTGTTTGAGACAATTTTTTTTACTGATTTAAGACAATTATTTAGTATATTTTTATTTGAATTAAAAATTTTGTATTCAAAAGTTTTTTCATAAAATAGTAATAAAATTGTCATAAATTTTATTTGGGATGATATAAAGTTCAGAAATTTTTACATGATTACTGAGGAAAGAAAATAGGCATAGATCCTTCATAGGTAGTAAACTGAAATAGGATTTGAACTTCGCAAACCCTAAAGATTTGAAGTGTTTAAATCTTTAAATTTATTTATATAATATTTTGATGTCTAAACCATAATAAAATATTGCATGATAAATATATTTCACTTAATATAAATTAATATTAGTGTTATTTCTAATACAATTTAAAAATTGAAATATTATATAAGAAAATATAAATATTGAAGTTTTAAATATATAAATGCAGAAGAGTTTTGTGATATTTATGAAAATCTCCAAATGGAAATGCCATATTTCAAGAAGGCTTAGGAGAGGGCAAATTATTCTGTGCGGACGCCAAACGTAGTTCAGAGCCAACCAAAATACGCCACGTCACTCCCCTCTCAGTACCGTGCTCGATACTGCAGACGTGGTGCATTCTGGTTGGTGCAGGATCATCAGTCAACTCTACCTCAATTCACCGGACGGTGAACTGAGCCCAACATCAGCATAGAATAATTTCTGGAGAGACACTTCACATATTTTGAACTACTTTCTTATTATTGTAAAAAGCAGTTTTCTAATATAAAAATAAAAACAGTAAGAAAGCTGAAGCTGAAAGTTGAAAAGAGTAAGAAAGTTATCTCAAACAAAATCTTAATCCGCACATATAAACATCTCTCAAAAAATAATCTCAACATATTCATAACCATTAAGTAGAAACAAATATAGGGAATGATGAGGCGGCTTTTGATAAAGTAGCTTTTTTGCTTGATAAAACCATATAATGGAAGTACTGAGGGAAAAATAAATAAAACTATGATCAATAACATAAAAATGAGAGCACATTCAAACCAAAAAAAAAAACCTGGATGGATTACAATTACGGTTCTAACTTACAAAACTTGCGCATTCGTCTTAATCGACCTGTATTCTTCTTGAAAAGCACGGTCTTACAAAGATTTCTGGCAGTTAATAGATAACCCCTATGGTGTGATCTTCTTCTGAGTCTTTGTTTTCCTGTAAAGATAAAGAGACCATGCATTAGAAGCCTCTAGATACCCAAAAAAAAAAAAAAAAGTTAAGATGAACTTCTTTAGCTTATCGAAACGCAATAAAAAATGTAAAGTTTACATAATATCATATCCACATGCATTTGATATGATCAGGAAGAACAAAGAAGCAAGGTTTTGAAGTTGTATAGTTCAATATCTATATTGAGCATATTATTATAAATACAAAATAAAAGAGATAATAGGCAAAATAATCCCAAGCCTGGTCATGGGAGTCATTTTAATCTCATATTACTTCAAGTGCTCAATTCAGTTAGTCGACTCCTCAGGCCTCGTTTGGGGGACGGCTTTCTTACTGTTTCTCAAAACGATTTTTTAGTATACAACAACAACAACAACAACATCAAGCCTTTGTCCCACTGTGGGGTCGGATACATGAATCCTTTTTCGCCATTGTGTCCGGTTAAAAGTCAATTTCTCATTTAAATCTAATAAAGAAAGATTATTTCTAATATTTTATAACAAAGTCTTTTTAGGTCTACCTCTACCTTTCTTAACATAAGTCGAATATATTACCTCAACTTTCTTAATTGTGTCATCAGAAGGCCTCCGTTTAATGTGACCAAACCATCTAAGGCGACTCTCCCTAATCTTATCTTCCACTGGAGCTACTCCAACCTTTTCACGTATATGCTCATTTCGTATCATATTTCTAAGGGTCAAGCCACTCATCCACCTAAGCATCCTCATCTCTGCAACACTTAACTTAGTATTATGCTTCTCTTTTAATGACCAACATTCGGCACCATAAAGCATTGCAGGTCTCACCACCATCTTATAGAATTTTCCTTTAAGTTTGAGGGGGACTTTTCTATCGCACAAAAAGAAGTCTCAAATACGATCCAAACTCCCGCAGTTAGAATCTCAGTTTAATTTGATGAAAATTTCTAATAAAATTTATGAATGATGTGGGGAATGATGATACTTCACATAAATAAGATGTATAAAAACTTCAATTTAAACCTCATTAATGAACTTTGCACAACAATTTCATCAAATTAGATGGCAATTTTAACTTTCGGCTATTTTAGATCATACTTCAAGAGTCGAATAACTAAATAAGACATTTTAAATACTCTGAGACTTAAAATTCCCCCAGCTCTAAAATCGAATGAACACCAAACAGATATGTTGTCTTACTTTGTGAGCAATTCTTCTAAAAAGAAAAAATAACCATAAACTATTTGTAACAAATAGCATCCCTCCTACTGGCTAGTTAGAAATAAAACTTAATAGCAAACGTCTTACCTGATTTATGAAGATGTCTATTAGTAATTCCATTTGTGCTTGCAGGCCGCTGTATATTTCTCTCTTCTATTTTACTCAGTAGAGAATCATTTTCTGGCATAAAAAACTTATCATCTTTCATTGGAATAGAAAGTTCCTCTGAAAACAGATCACCCACTGGAATTTCTGCAGTAGAAAAATGCTTCTTTTTGGCTTTGGTTTTAGTTGCAAATCCCTTCGAATTATTTCTTTTGCCAAAAACATTTTCCTTCTCCTGCATTTCCAATTTCGCTGAACTATTTGACAAGATCACACAAGTTGATGCAGCGGCTGAAGCAAAATCTTGCTGATTGTCCTGTTCTAATTTAACCTGAGCATCATCAGATATTCTTGGTTCTAACAGTACAGTTAATTGCTCCTGCCCTCCCAGTTTGTTAGGATCCTTTGAGGTGCTAGGTTCAATTGGTACCAGTAATTGCTCATAGGCTTCCAATTTATTAGGGGAACCATTAAGTTGCACATCACCTAATGATGAAATTTTCTCCTCGATCTCCATTTTTTCTAAATAATGCTCCTCCACGGCGATGATTGTGTCATCATAAACCGTGGAAATCTGTTCCCTAGAACCAACAAAAGAGCAATCCAGAGAGTTGATAACATTCATAGGGAACTCTGTGAAAACAGAAACAGCATCCACCTGCTCTGTAATTTCCACCTGCTCTGTAATTTCCACATCTTCCTTAACCATATTGGATGTGTTGATCATCCCAGCACCATAAACACCGGTCGGACCTGAACCTGTCAAAGACGAGTCATCCGAGATCGACCAAGAAGGATTCTCAAAAACATTGATGCCCATGCCATTTTCATCCAAACATGGCTTCATCTCTTCATTTGTAGTATGGAGAACAGGCTTATCAACCATTGCCACCACTTTTTCCGCATAAACATGATCGACGTTATGCCGTTGTTCAATTTCATCAGAAGGATGATTTCCATCAGCAGAATCAAGTTCAAGATTATAAGTACTAGAGAAAATGGATGCATTGGGAGCCATTCCATTGATGGAGGATGTAAAATCAACTGCATTTTGACTTTTAGAATGTTTGCTGGCAGCAGAAAAAAGTTTAGCCATATCATCTGGTGAGGGGAGATCATTCTCCCCACTGGATATAGGATCCCAATCATTCCATTCCTTAAACCAGTCACCATGAGAGTCCATTTTTCCTTCTGGTAATATCCTTTCTATTCTGATAGCCTCCTTGAAATAGCAATTTTTCTTTCTCAAGGCATTAGAGACCAAGGACCTGCCTTTGCCAAGAAACAAACTACTTGGTTAAGGAAGAAGGCATGCTTTTAGGGACACATGTTAGTATTGAATAGAATAACAATAAGTTCTATAAACCTGCAATTTCCAGATATAGCTGCTTTAGCTCGCTCCATAGTTAGGCCAAGCAAAATTGCTGATAAATTCGCTACATCACGAGGACCTCTGACTTCATTTAAACTCACAGCAGAACCTGAGATAATCAGGTTCTTCCCACGGGTCCATCCCCCCAGTCGCTACATTAATTTGGAAAAAATCAGGTGATTGACAATCAAAATTCAATTTCAAAAAAAAAAACTTCGATACAAAGACAACTTAAAAAAGTACTCAAGTAAATACAATGAAATGAACTAGAACTAGGCAAAAGTTCTATTGATAATAACTGCCACATCATGATAATTTTCAATATGTCATAATCGCACAATTAGCAATAACAGTGGCAAGAGCAGTCACCAATACCTACCAGTTGGGATCAGGCTTTCCAGATTATGATTCAAGTATTTTTGCCGTTAAGATATTATAATATAGTTCAGCTAGGGCCATTGAATCTCTTTTAACCATGTTAGCTTTTAAATAAATAAACCTTACAAAAACTCAGTAACTCAGTCCCAAAGAAGGTCAATATCTACTTATATAAATAAGTCAAATGCATGACACAAACACTCAATTTTTTTACAGAAATTAATCACTATCAGCAAGATCTATGTTCGAACATGAAAGCTGAAGCAAGACCTAAGTATACATCCCTCATTCAGTCATATTGCTGAAGCAAAATGTAGAACTACTTCCCTAATTCAGTTTTCCTTTGTTCTCTGTCATTAATTTTCCTCCATCTCTTTAAATAACACTGAGCAAATGATTAGTAAAACTTGTAACATATCCCGAAGGAAAGTTAGCGACTGTATGTTTGTCAAATGATTAGTAAAACTTGTAACATATCCCAAAGGCTACGGTAAGGATTTCTGAAATTTTCAAGAATCATCCATAATGTTTTCAGGCACTCCCAAAGGATGTATGGATGCCCAATGCTTGATGCAATATGCGCCATCATAAATGCTAGATCAAGCATAATGAGGAACTCAAAAGGAAATATATGTATAAATTTCCTAAAGGAAAAAAATATAGTTCTGTAAGTTCGATTGAAATTAAAATTTCAAAATTCTAGATAGATAGAATTTTCTTAAACAAGTATGATAAAATATTTAAGTTTGTAGCAATTAAAACCAAGGAACATTTCATCTTTATTACTATCAATTCTAATTGTAATGATTCATACTCTCTTTTTTCATTGGATTTCTCTATGCCATTTCATCCTCTATCTCCTTAAAATAAGATTAGAGTAGGAGAAACAAGGATGTGTAGTAGAAAATAATTTAAACAAAATGTAGGAATAAGAGCCTGAATAAGATGATTATCTTTTCACGTCATCTCAAGTCAACTACCATCATGAAAAGCTAATTTATCTTCTTCATTTGAAATATTAGCACCCACTTGGTCAATAAAACAAAGAACCCAAGTCATTGCTAGGTCAATAAGGCAAGGCGCTCACCAAGGCACAATTTAGCATGAGCACTCACCAAGAAAGTTATGCGGACCTATGACCCTGCCTTATCTTGCCTGAGCACCTAGGTTAGCGCCTAAATCTCGTTTAACAACACTTGTGTGAACCAAGTGTCCCACAACACTACTCTAAATATTAAATAAAGAGAATATGCTAAGCTTAAAGCTTTTCATGCAAGAGATATAGCAAGTGTATGTGCACACGCACACACATGCAATTAGTCGTATAGTACTTGCCTTATAGAAAGTTAATAAAATATAAATGATATAGATTATAATATATCAACACATGAATCAATGTTAACAAACTTTACCAAACCAATTAGACCTAAAAAATGGCCTGAGTGTTCCTATTTCAATAAAAATCAACACTAAAAACAATTTAGATCAAGTGGCAATTTTGTAAAATTAATTATAGTCCATCTACTTCATGAATTGGTCAATCACTTAACTAGCTTGATCCATCAAATACATTTGACAGAACCTGCCACAAAATAAAGGATTAATGCCATTAATGATTTGTTTGAAGCGGCTACAATTGTCTATAAAATTGGTTATAAAACTATGCAGAAAAAAAAAATTGAAGTTATCATGCAATTTATTTAAAATATAGAATCATAAGACATTGAATTGAACAATCACAGAACGCAGTTGTATGGTAGAATGTTAGATGATGAGCATGGTGACAAAAGGCAGTTGTCCAAAACTTCCTCAAACGCAATATAAAAGTTATTAGTTAAACGCCAATATAATTACAGTTTAAAAAACAAAATTGATAGAAAGTTATCTCATGTAGAGCCCAAATATTAGGGCTGCAAACGAACCGAGTCGAGTTGAGTATATGAGTGTTAATGTTTGAGTTCATTTATTATCAGCTTGTTCAAGTTTGGTTCGTGTTTGATTCGATCTTTATTGTTTGTGTTCATGTTTGGTTTATTTAAATTAATAAGTGTTCATGTTCGGTTCATGTTCGATTCGTTTAGTGTTTATCGAGCTTTAAACAAACAAGCCTTAATGAGCTATAAATAAGCTCTACTTCTAGATGTTCAATAACTTAACAAACAAGTTCTCGAGCCTCCTAACAAACAATTATATCGAGCATGTTTGTGAACATATTTAGCGATTTTTTTTAAATTATCAAACAAGCAAGTTCATGAACATATCTAACGAGTATTCTTAAGCTATAAATGAGCAAGCTCATGAACATATATAACTAAATTTTTTGAGCTACCAAATGGACTCATTCACGAACAAGTGATCTATGATTCATCTTATATTTATTCATGAACATTTTAAACAAACAATCTAGTAAACATGGACAAATGTGAAATGTCTCTTTTTCATGAACAAATTCATTCTATTGAAAGTATAAAATATAACTAAATTAAATTTATAATAAAAGCAGTTGTCTATGTAAAATGAAAATAAGATTAATCTATATGAATACATTTTCAAATGAAACTTACTTGTTGCATTTCTCACCAATTGGTACAACCGTACAACAGCTAAAAGATTATCTTCTGCATTCATAGAAAGACTTCTCCATTATAATATTTCATTACTTTTAAATTTTCTTATTTAACAAAAATTATATAGTTATAATAAATATATAATATTTATATTATGTATATTCATTATTTTTATAATTAAATATTAATTGAGTTTTTATCGAGCTTATTCACGAGTTTTAAATCGAACATGAATCGAGCTTCTTATTGACTTAATGTCGAACTTGTTCACGAGCTTCAAATGATGTTGTTCATGAACATAAATGAGTCAAACAAATTAGTGTTCAAGCTTGTTTATTTAAGGATCGAGGATTTAAAATATTATTCAAGTTTGTTTGTTTAGTTAATTGAACGATCACAAACAAGCTTTAATTGAACCGTGCAACGAGTAGCTCGTCAAGCGTTTGGTTTGCTTGCAGCCCTACCAAATATGATTGTCCCATTGTAAGTACGAGTGTGCCCATATAACGAGAAACAAGCATATAACTATTATAGGAAACGTAAGTCATAATCTAGCACATAAGAAGATTTTTACCTAATAGAACAGAAATCACACATATATAATGACATAAGGTTAGCTCCGCTTAAATCTAATCCTGTAAGAAACATGCAATTTTTTTTACTCTCCAACTACCTTGGCTTCTGACAATATTTGCCGCCTTGCATGACCACCAGCAATAATATGAGAATAGGATATCTCAAAATGCACCCCACGCTGCACAGAAAATTAGAGAATGGATTTACTCAAAGAAACGAAACCAACACGAATCCAAAAATCATAATTCTTGATAATCAAATCACCATAAAGCCCATTGCAGACCTTAACTGCAGCTTGAACCATTGCAAGCTTCAACCGGAAGGGTAGTTTCTGAGAAAAGTCTAACGAAATTATATCAACCTGTGCAAAAAAGAAAAAAAAAACATACCTATTTAGTTCAAATCATACAGAAATACTCGCCAAGCAAAATATAGCAGAGCAAGAACCCAACGCTTTCTGCTTCTACATTATAATCTCACAGAGGCATAAGTAGACACTCCACTTCTATCGATATTTGGTAACATAGGGTCAAAAAGTCACTTTTGCCAGTCTTTTTAAACCGATTTTTCAGGTTCTTCAAATTCTTCCATTTCAATATTATTTCATAACGTGAAGATTTATAAGCCTGGTTCATGTAAGTAACATCATTTCGAATGCATCCATTCCAATTGATTTTTTTTTTCTTCACAATGCTTTGAAATTTTTTTTCATCACAGTAATTAGCATTAGATAATTACTTTATTAAAATGCATCTCTATTGATTTGTGGATCAAGCGTACAAAAATATGGTCAATTGTTCATTGTTCATGTAAACTCTTTGGTAGAGCTTTAATTCCTAAGCCATTAGCTCTTCATAGACCAATACTGCAGTCTTGCCTTTATCAACATCAACTTCAGAAGAATAGAGTTATTATTCCCCCCCTTCTTTGTTAATGGCTCTATTTCGTCGTCCCCAGTAATAGAATATCTCCTTTTCTTTACCTACGGTACAATCACCCAAAAAAAAGTACAAAAACTTACCTCCGAAGCATTGCACGCCTGATCGAAAGCCATCTGGTTCAACGGCCGCGCCGCCACTAGATCATAACTCCTCAAGAGGCGGTTCCCACTGTTGAGGGCTGATGCGGCGGCGGCGCTGTCGACGGAGACCGTTATGCGGGTGTATTGCCGGAATTGGGAGGCCCGGGGGACGCCAAGAAGGTCTCGATGGAGCGCGACGGAGGCTGTGAAGGCAGCGGGAGAACAGCCGGCGACTGAGTCGAGGAAAGATTGAGCTGGGAAAGGCGCGATCTGGCATCTATCAGCGTCGGAGAGAACTCCGCGAAAGGGGCGATCGTAAGCGATGGCGGTGTAGCCGAGCTCCATAGTACGAGCGACTGTTCGCAAACGACAATCGCGGCGGCTGCAACTATCAAGCGCAGAAGCGCCAGTTTTCTCGACGTATGGGATACTTAGATCGAAAAATGACATTGCGGGATGCACCGGCGGTAGCCGGCGGGAAGGGACGGGAAGTTGGAAGTGTGATGGTGAGGAAGAACGGCCCGCGTGAACAAAGCTTTGTTTGCCGTCCGATTGGAATGCCACGGCTGCGATATGGGTTTTTCGGCCCCAAACCCTTTACCGGTTAGGTTTTGGATTGCAGAAAAAAAAATTACATAAATACTATTTTATTTCATGCTATTTACATGTCTAATACTCAAAATATTAAACTTTAATATCAAATATATCACTCATATAATTCTTTTCTATCATTCATATCATCCTATAAACTTTAATATTTCATTCCATGCATCAAAATTTATTCTATGGATGGTAAGCATGTAATATTAATGTTTTGAGTATTAGATATGTAAATAACATGAAATAAAGTGGTATGTATGTAAATCTCAAAGCTTTGTTTGATAAGTAATTATGCATTGAATTAAATATATAAGAAATTTTACCCTTTTTTTAAAGAAATTTTACCTTATTTAAATGAATTATTCACATTGTCAGAGATAGTTATATAAATTTCATTATTTAAAAAAATTAATTGAAAATATTAGTACTTTTAAAACTTCATAAAGAAAAATAACTAATTAGTATACTTGATATATCATCAAAAAATTATCTTCATAGTTTTGGACATCTAAATTTTTTTTGGTAAAATTTTTGCCTAATATTTTTGAAACGCTGCTTTTCTAAAATTATAAAAAAAAATATTTAGACTTTGAAAAATAGTCTTGTATAATAATTAACTATATATATAGACACACACACATACAATTTATGATAATTTGATGGAATTCTGAGTCAATAATTTTATCTATATTGAATTGGGTCTGACTGCTACAATGTTGCCCCTGGGGCAAATCTCTGAAGTTTTGCAAATAGTTTCATTTATGTTTAATTATGGATGTGTGCATCTCATAATGAATATGAGGAGTTAAAGTGGTTATGTTATAGATCCACATAGTTATGCTACGAATATTCTAAATTTGTTGAGAGCACTAGTAGATCTGAGAGTGAGGCGTTCTGAATGGGAGGCATATGGTCTATAGTTATAAATAGGAGACATAAGGGTTGGAGTTCTATTACTCTCAGCGCTGCATTGTATATTTATTTATATTTTTTTCAGCATACTTTACAATTTGTGTAGCATACTATGCTTTGACTTAGGTAACATGCTTAGTAATCTACAAAACTTTGTAATGTTCTAACGCCACTCTATTATAAGTACGTACGTTAATAAGATTATAATAACTACTTTATTTGATGTTATTGATTTTTGCAATTATTAAAAAATAATTTGAGTAATAAAAACTACTGATGTGTTAGCTTATTCTAAATTCTACATATCATTTCAGAATAAGGCAGGGTAAAAGGGTTGGTTGAATAGCTGAGGCCAATTTTCTGGGTTGTCCGGAGCATAGTTACCTTTTAGATTTTTCTTTTAGAAATAGTCTTGACATTTTCTGCCCTATTTCTATCTATTGCCTAGGACTTTTATAACAAGAATGTGTATTATATATTTTGTGGATAAATAGAAAGAAATAAATTTTGTGGATGAGTAAATTTATGTATAGTGGAAAGAAATTTAAAGGCTTTGGTATCTATTACCTGAAAAGAAATATGTTACTTCTCCAAATAAAAGACCATGGTATGTTATATCCCGCCACTTGTCTGTCACCACCCAACACGATGTCACCTACATTTATGGGTCATATTGGGTTGGATAGTGATAGCCTATCTCTTTGAGGAGAAATTTCAGTGCATCATATGCTTAAAATCATGAGTTTAAACTCATAATATTTATCATAATAATTTAGTCGACTTTGAGATAAAATAGGTGGACTACGTTGCACCTATCTTAGTTAACTTCTAATGTTTAATGCGTACATGGGCTTCTAGATTATTACTATGTAGCATCTTCGAGCTAATTATTTTCATAGTGTGATTAATTGGATCTCAATTTAACGTGGAGTTTTCATTTCATTCACGTTGTGGTAAGTAACTTTTATTTATTTGAGGATAAACATACAAATCCTAATTAGTAGCATTATCCATGAGACTTATAATAGAGTCCTAAATATTTTGTAGGTTGCCAATTCTATATTTATTACTCATTAAATCCTATGCATATTTTAGTCTATTTTCTTCAATATCTATAATAAATTGTCAAGTAGAATAGATAATTTTATCTTGAGTTATTGTTGCTAAAATTTTTGTACATTGAATTTATTCCTATACTAGTAATTTTATTCAAGGACATTTCCTTATTTGTATATGATATATTTCATCCTGAAAAATCATGTTTTTATTATAGAATTATCATTGTTCATATCAAATAAACAATAGCCATTGATAACTTATTTATAATGTATACAATTTATATGTGTGCTTGCAATAAATGTATGTCAATATAACTCTTTTAAATAGTTAATCAGACTTACAGATCTATAGACTCATAACCCCTTCAAAAATTATTCAATTTATATCGGTTGGTTTTTACCTTTCAGGTTTTATGGTATCTTGATAAGACAAGAAGCTTCATAGGTGAAGAAGTCATGTGAATTCTCAATGAGTTTCGCGATTTACCAATGAATGTCCTGCATGAGTTGAACTAGCCGTAAGTAAAAAAAAAAACATTGTTGGTAGAAGATCCAATAGGAACATTGTAGCTCATTTTCACTACAAAAATAACAATGGACTTTGCCATTGACAACCCTAAAAAATGGAGCTAGGGTGGTTTTTTTATGATCGAAGTCTTATAACAATTACGAGGTATTTATAACAATTTTGAAGATCGAGGCTCACAACTTTGTGATGATAAGGACCTAATGGAGCTAGGGTGGTTTTGATGGGTAGATCATGTGATAAGTTAATGAAGAAATGATGTGCATGACATGAGCCAATGTGTGAAGAAATGTTCTACGCGTGAAATTAAGTTGTTGTTGATATGAAGCAAGGTGTCAATACCTCTATAGTCATAAACATGTTTTTATTTGTTCTTCGCTCATCCTTACATACTCGAGACTTCACCACTAAAACATAATCAAACACATACAGCTTACCTAATCCACTCATGCCTCTATCAAGATTTTTGAACATCAATGAACATGTTGAAGAGGCATGGTTGTATCACTCTAGGTTTCTCCTTATTTGGTCATGACATAGAGAAGCCAATAAACTCTTTTACCAAAAAAAAAAAATTGACAAAAATTTATCATTTTTATTTTGATAAAAAAGTAAATTTTATTACTTTAAACTTATGAAATCAAATGTCATGAACCTTATAACTTAACTTTTTCCATGATAAAATATTGCACATTAAACTAGATCCTTTTAATCTATTTGATTTTGAAGTTAATTATTGAGGTTAGTTAAACATGTATAATTAAACAAATTGAAATATTAAACTATAACTAATAGCATAAAATCAATCAACTTCAATGTTTGTGTGATGTCCTAAAATTTAAAGGCATAATCTTACTAAGGCGCCAATAAACTTTCTTCTAAGGTTCAAAATATCTTGATAAAAAAAAGGCATAGAGAAATACTAAATTCTTCTTGTTGATAAGACTAAAGAGGAGTTGAAGGTAAACTTGAATTAAGGATGTCAACCTTCAAGTCTAAAGGTTTTTATTTGAGTAGATCTAAAATCAAATATATGAAGTAAAATTTTAGTAGTAATAGATCTAGTATGGGGATTGTGACTTTGGGCTATCAAGTCATTAATAAGAGTACACGTTTTAGATATTTTGAATTTTTTGTTCAAAGTGACGGTGAAATGTATAGGGATATTATTAGTAGAATTCAAGTTGGATGGTTGAAGTGAATGAATGCATCAGGCTTGTTCTGTGATAAGACCTACAACGCTTTATGGTTTGGTCGCATAAAACAGCAGACTTCTGATGACCCAGTTATGAGAGTAGATCTACTATATTTGATTTATGTTAAAAAAGATAGTGATGTATCTAAAAAGACTTGGTTAGAAAATATTAAAACCAACCTTTCTATATTAGATTAAAATGAGAATTTAACTCTTAACAAGACACAACATATAAAAAAAATGATTCATGTAGCCGAACCCACGTAGTGGATAAAGGCTTGACGTTGTTGTTGAAGAGCAAAAGCTTCCTACTTCTTTAGATTACAACCAGCCTAATAAATTCTTAGATGATAAAATCATAAAATCAAACATATGATTGGTATTACCATAAACAAGACCTCATATGAAGAGCAAGATTGCGTGAGTATTCCTAAGATCAGCACAGAAATCCTATAATGAACTCCTAAAAAAAATTCCTTGGAAAAATTCTCAGCGCTCTTAATTCCACATAACTTTTATGTTCAGTAGGTCGCTATTGTTGACAGAAACATATATAGAAAAAAAATGAAAATCTATGAAGTTTTAAGAGGAATTCTCTCTGCCTTCTGGCACCAATTTATTTGGATTGTAGCTGTACCCTAGAGTCCTTTTGAACAAAAGATGATGACAACAACAGTATTCTTATAGTTTAACTACACTAAAACTTACCAATTCTTACAAATCCTTTAGATTCACACAACAAGCAGCTTGGAAAGCAAGCCCTCCACTGTTAATTTTCACCTTCAACTTCTCCAGTATAAAATATGCCAAATCAGCTTACAATGTAACTGGACCACTAGCACCAGCACATCTCTGCTCATCATAAAGAAAACCCAGACTTCCTTTGGCTGTGATGCTTGTGCATTGGTGGGGTAATGCATGAGAATATGTAAGGCTTCTTTCGTCTCTGCCCGAATAAGAAAGTTCTGAGTGGAACCTTAGACCTTGTAGAACAGTGTCTGAAGTTTTGGTATTGTTGATACCCATTTGAAACTGAGAGATCGAAGCTCTCCCTCAGCTTGGAGAGAGACTTGGCAACCTGAGACTGAAGAGCCTTCACATGGTCCAGACCGGTTTGCAACTCCATTGCAACTTTGTTGTTCTCTTGTTGCATGTTGAGCAGTTCACCCTGGAACTTTGCTGCTTGGTATGGTGTGATCTTGGAATGCTCTCCCTCGGTATCGATTGAGGCTTTGGAAATCTCTTCCTGGATGTTGCAGAGGGATGTAAACCGGTATTGAAGCTCTCCCTTCAGCAAGTCGTTTTGTTCTAACCAAACTTGGAGCTCTGTATGGAGCTCCCTTAGCTTCTTATCGAGTGGCCAGGTGTCCTGTTTTGATGAATGCTTTGGGGATGCAGGAGCTGATCCACCTTCCTTGGGATCCTTCGTCTTATCCAGGCCAGCAGCTTCCAACTCCTTGAATGATGCTGCAAACTTCTGTATTTGATGATATGAGGTGCTGAATCTTAGCCAGAAGTTGAGGTTCTCATCTAGAAGAGTGTCTAGTTCAGCTCTGAACTTTTCCTCAATCGGTGAAGTTGAGTGCTGCTGATCTAAATGGCATAATTTGATCTGCTCTTCAGCTTCAATGATCTCGATAGGAGATTCTGGTTTTACTGCGAGCATTTCAATGGAGCTTCCATGCTCTTCTATGTTCTGTATATGAGTTTCTTTATAAGTGCTTGTTGCACCCTTGGAAGAAGTGTGATAGAGCAATTTACTCCTCAAAACTCTGATCTCTTGGTCCTTGACAGCATTCACACTCTTCAGCTCCTGAATCTGAGCCATCATCTCAAAATGGTTCTCTTGGTTCTTCTTCTCCATCTCGGCTAGTTTTTTCTTTGTGTCTTTGTAGTTGTGGAGAATTGATGAATATCCACACAGCAGCAATTTCTCTCTGCCTTCTGGCCCACTATTCAATAGATGCTGCAAGTCTGGAATATTATCATTGTCATCAGGCTCCAAATCCTTCAATAAAGATGAAAACATTGCACTGAGATGTTCTCCCTTTACCATCGATGAACTATTAAACAACTCAGTCTGATCCTTTGTATCTTCAGCGTTGGGCTCAATCTGATGCTTCACAAGAACCTCATTCTCCTCAGCTGTTGCATCACTTCTCTCATTTTTGACATCCTCTTTTATTTCTTTGTCCTGCTCCAAGTTTTCAATATTTGAAGAAGCTAAACTTCTATCCTTCTCCTTAGGGCTAGTAGATTGAAGTTTTTCTGATATATCATTAAGACTATTGCAGGCCTCTATAAAATGAGTTTGAAAGATCCCTTTCTCATGATGCACGATTTTCTCAAGATCCTGAACTCCATGCAACTCATCTTCTGCCTGCCTCAGCCTCACATTTGAGCTGTTTGAGTCAATTATCAAATTAACTTTATCTTCTTCCAGGCATCGGAGGTGCTTCTCAAGCATGTCAGTCTCTGACCTTAGTGTGTGTATTTGCGCTGTTTGCGATGAGACTGCTACCTCCAAACTAATGACTTTCTCCACAAGTTCATCAATTTTCTCAGCAAGGTTCACAACTGAAGTGTCAGAGTCCATCTGGAAGTGCTGTTTCACCCGTGCACATACAGAGAACAGGTCTAGCCGCTCATTTTTTAGGATAAAATCTTCTCCCTCTTCATTACTTCTTTCTTGGTTAAAGGTTTCCTCTATTTCTGGCGAGCATTTTTCACCCTTGAGAAACTTCAGCCTGTCTTTGACTTCCCTGATTCTTTTATATTCTATCTCTGCCTCTTCACCTGATTTCTTCTGTTGCTTCTGTAAGCTGACTAGGCTTTCTTCGCATGATTTGATTGCTGTGGCTGCCATCAAGGCCCTGGCTTCATTATCTTCAATGATAGAACTTGCACTGTACTCATCCTGAAAGGTGCAGACCTCGTCTTGTAAATCAGATATCTTGCTCTCAATCTCCCAGAACTTTGCAAGGCTACTTTCATAGGAACTCTTGACAAATTCTTTCTCAGTCTGGAGAACAAGGATTTCTTTCTGAAGCTTGTCTATTTCATTTTGCGCATTCTCCTTGGTGATATGAGAACAAACTTTCTTATGGTGCTTCTTTAAGGCAGTCAACGCATCTCTGCTTTTGTTTCTGAAATTGATCTGTGGCACCTCCCCGGGTAGGAGCTTGCGAAACTTACTGATATCTACGCCTGTGAAAGCCGTTGGGGAACCATCTTCATCGTCATCTTGCATTGCAAACTGGACTTGATCAGGGAAAGCTGACGCAATGGTGTGGTTGGCCTTATGCAGTTCTCCAGATATGTGATCATATCGGTCGGCCAAAGCTTTATAAGCCTTGTAAGTCTCTTCAACAAATTTTATTAGTTCTGGTCTCCTCTGGTAGTACATCTCTGCCTTTTTAGCGAAGGAGTCAGCATCCACTTCTATAAGCATGATCATGGCTTTCACCTTCTCCTCCATTTCTGCAAACATACAGGAGCCAAACTCTTCTTTACTATAAAATTGTGATAGATAAGTGAAAACTAGGAGGTTCCACAAGGGGGAAGGAGAGTGGGGGGGTTGGAACCCACTTAGATCAATTCTAAGCTTAGGTGACTTGCCCAAAATATTTTTCAAATCAATATTAATAGTATACACGCACCCAAATTAATTCTATGTTAGTTTTGTATTCTTTATATATATTTGATAGAAGTTCAAAGTTTTTGTTAAAAAATTTTTTTGTTGTTTAATTTTGAGTTTTTTTGATCTGTTTCAAATTCGATTGAATAATATTAAGCAAATTATGCAGTAAAATTTTAAGTTGGACTAATTTTGCGTTGCCTCTAAATTGGTTTATTTCAGTAATTGTTAGCTCGGCTTAAATTTAAATTTAAATTCAAGTCAATTTTGATTCAAATGAAATTTGAAAGATTTGGAGTTTGCTTTAAGCCCGAGTCGCTCGAACTCATCTTGGATGCAATAAAAAGTTTCTGACTCCACCACTTTAGAGTAATTGCAATTCAGATTGAGAACAGATAAATAATTATGCTCAAGGAAATCAAAACATGCATGCATCTCATTGATCTCAAATAGAACAACTGAAAGAAAAGCATTCAAAATTATTGCTATGAATGATAATGAGAGAAATAATTTTAACAAGCATAAAATACAAGCCAGAAAGTTGTTATCGTAGACATTTGAATTATAGCACACATCTTTAGGAAGAAATACAACAGATACCCAAATACATAAGAAGTTTAGTCTAAAAATAAATAAATGTCCCAAAACATAGCGATCACACCATGCCTTTTTAGCATGTCAGAAAATAAAAAATTAACAAAAGAGGACGAAAAAGAAAATTTTTCATTCTATATGGCAATTAATTATCTCATTGAAAAAAAAAATATGTACATAGACAACAAAACAAGCATCTTCTTGACATTTAATCATTTACTATAGTTAGTATTAATCAACCTATTTACAAGAATGTTTGTTTTCCTGAAAAAAAAATGTAGAGTAAAATAATATACAATATAAAATGAATGTAATATATTTGAAATATTTGAAGCTGTTTAGATGAGTTTAAAATAAATAGTGTAAATATCAATAATGATGGTGTGGCTGGTGGACACCAACTAGCAGTGGCAGTGGATGGCAGCCGACGGCTAATGGTGGCAAATGGCAATAGTAGAATTATCTTGCTGTGTATTTTGAAATTTGGCATAAAATAGACGAATTTAGAATACATAAAAAATGAACTACAATGTGAAAAAGGATTCATGTAGCCGACCCCACGTAGTGGGATAAAGGCTTGATGTTGTTGTTGTTGTTGTTGTTAATGTGAAAAAGGGATTTATCAAAATTTTACAGTGTTATTTTTTCATCAAATCAAGCACCAAATTTTCAAATAATCCTACATTTAGAATAAATTGCAATACTTTTTTAGCAAACCAAAATGCCCCTACATAATTTGGCACAATGAATTATTGGAAAAATCTAATACATAGGATAAAGTTGCATTTTGAATACCAAACGTGAATAAATGGCAATGCCAATGAATGTCGCCAAACTCAATGATCAAACAATAATTTAATAGAGCACACAAAAACCCCATTGGACCGAATTTATAAGCAATTAGTCTCAGTGCCATGTCTTAGCAAGTTAAATGAATTAGCTATCAATAAACATTTGCAATAAACATGACGTCTCCATCCGCAAATCCGACAAGAAGCATAAAAAATGCAGAAACTAATTTAACAAGAAAAAAAAATAAAAAATGGAAGAAAAGATGACCTTGGAGGTTGCTGTCAAGCCACTTAGATTGCTTGGTCCGGATGTTACTCGCCCACCACCAAGAGTAAGCGTTGCTTGCTGCTCGCTGCAGCATTTCTCCCTCCCCTCTCTCTATCTCTCTTTCTCTCTTCTCCAGCTCTGCAGACTTCAATGTGGCGCAAAGCACGAAGGATCGTATGGAAAAAATCGAATGAGGAGAAGGGAGAGAAGGAGAAGAGGAAGAAGATAAAATAGAGAGGAATAGGTTTGCTTGTCTGGGCAAGGAAAATGTGAGGCATGGAGGGAGACAAACAGATGTCCTCGGCTTCTCCGGGACGGAAGGGGGAACCTGAGGCGGAGCGGTTGATGCGGAGATAGCCGGTCCAGTTGTGCCCTAAATGAACCCGGTCCAGCCGAAGAAAAGAGTGGCAGAGGACAGAAGGCATCAAAAATTGTTTCAATGAGTTGGCAACAAAAGTATTTGTTTAAATCCATACTAAACTACATACAAAATCAACCTCCTAAAAATCAACCCAAATCTAGGAATTTTCATTGCGTACTCCCATCTGACGTAGATATACGTCCTCCCAGAGCTAAATTCGCGCTAAAAACCGAGAAATACCGAGCAAATACCGAGCAATACCGAGCAATAACGAGGAATATCATCATGTGAAGACCAATACCGAGTTATACCGAGCTATACCGAGCAATACCGAGCAATACAAAAAAATACCTAGTTTTTCCTAGAAAGAACTCGGTATTTTTTTGTATTACTCGGTAATGCTCGGTACAGCTCGGTATTGGTCTTCACATAATGATATTCCTCGTTATTATCAAATAATACCTAGCAATACAGAGCAAAAACCGGGTTTTTTGGCGGTGGGAGGACGTATCTCTACGTCAGGTGGGAGGACGCAATAAAAGGGGTGTCAATTTGGGTTAACGGATCGGGTTCTGATCGAATTCGATTTGAACCAGTCATAACGGGTCAGCTCAAACCGACTCATTTTTTCAAACAGTTTAGCTTTCCCAACCCGCGAACAAGATATAGAGATCGAGAATTGGGTGTGGTTCCAGCGAGGGCGAGGTCGCGAGAGTTAAGCGAGCTTGCGACGTGTCAGGGTGTGCATGCGAGGCTTCAAGCTATCTTGCTCCCGGTTCGACGCGAGATGGCGAGACCAGCGACTGGGCCGAGCCCCGACTAGGAGTGGGCAACACGGATGCGGCTTCTACTACACTAGGTGGGGCGACCAGTGCGGCTCCACGTTTCAACCGTTTGACGCGAGGGCTAGGGCAAGGCTGCGACTATGCGAGTTGGCACTTGGTAGCCGGGTCAATTTCGGGTTACCGAGTTGATTCATACCCGACCCATTTTTTAAACAGTAAGAAAATTGAAACTCGAATCCGACCCGTTAGTTAAACTGGTCAATCCTAACCCAGATTTTTCAGGCGTATTCGATTGGTTCTTAAAGAATTGTCGAGTCATGTCAATAATTGACATCCCTACCCAAATCCCATAATCTCTTATTATATCCTCAAATAATATTAGTTCATAACATAAACATTATAGCTTTCCTTAATTCTCTATCAAAGTCTCTTTTTTGTTCTCTAAGACTTTCTTAATTATGTTCAAATTATATGATCATCTTAAATTAACATTTAGTCTGTATCATGCTATAAGACTTGAATTCTGATCGTTTTTAATGAAATTTTTTTAAAGAAATAATATCCTAGCCAAAAAAAAAATCAAAATAATCTTTAAAATCTTTAAATCTACTTTAAAATAAGGATAATATATAAATAATTAATATTATATATCTAATAGACAATTTAAATATTTAAAATATATCATAATTAAAAATTTGATCAAGAGTATCACTTAGAATTTGAATTACATTTATGCCATTGTGAGGGATTCAGAACTAGAGTTCCAAACGAATCGAGTCGAGCCGAGCTTCTACATGTTCGAATTCAAACTCATTTGGCAAAACCCTATTCAAGCTCGGCTCAATTAGAGCCGAGCTTTTTTGAACCGTGCTCGAGCTTATTTGACAAAATCCTGTTTGAGCTCGGCTCTAGCTCATGTTTGTGTTTGATTCATTTTTAAGCTTGTTGAGCTTATTAATGACCGGCCTGTTAACCGCTCATTTAATAAAACAATTCAACTTAACCGAGCCTTCAACAAAATAGGACACTTTAATCCAGCGCATCTCGTTAAACACCAGGAACAAAGCAAACACTCACAGCGGAGGGAAAAATTATTACATTCTGTGTCCGAATTCGTCCGGATATCAATCCAGACGGGTCACGTCATCCAAATACACTGGATCCAGTGTATTTAGATGGCGTGACGCGTCTAAATTAAATATCCAAACATCCTGTCACGTAATAATTCGCCCAGGAGACAGATGTGCTCTAAACTACAAATGCTCCACTTTTTACTTTTTATTTTTTAAGTTTTGCATAATCAAGCTTCTTAACGAGCTTGTTCATGAGTTTTAAATGTTAGTGTTCGTGAATATAAATGAACCGAACAATAAGCTATTTGTTGTGTCTAGGAATATTTGCGACGGTAGAGAAATATATAGTTTAACGTCTTAGCATTATACAAAGATCTAGCACACAAGCAGATGAAAAAGATAGTGTAACGCTCATAAGAGACACCAGAGTATTTACATGGAAACTCCTGAAAAGGGGGAAAACCACGAGGCTTGTCCCTATTTGAATAAATCCACTAGTATTTGCAGTCGATTACAAATAAGACCCTTCCTTGGGAAAAAGCCTTGGCTTGAATTCACAAATGTACATCATTTAGAGCGCATTATATGGTGGAAGTTACATTAATCAACATAGACATGTTTGTTTAGTCGGCAGGACCATAGTCGATAGGATAAAAGTCAGGAAGATCGTAGTAGGCGACGGAGGTCGGAAGGATTGTAGTCGGTAAGAGACATGGGTCAGAAAGACCGTTGTCTGACGAGGGAGGTCGGAAGGACCATAGTTGGCAAAGGACTAGATTAGAAAGATCATTGTCTGATGATGGAGGTCAGAATGACCGTAATAGGAAACGAAGATCGGAAGGACTGAAGTCGGTAGGAGACTGGGGCCAGAAAGACCGTTGTCTGGCAAGGGAGGTCGGAAGGATTGTACTTGGTAGCCCGGTGGAAGACCAATAATGGTTGGTTGCGATAGGAGGTCCAACGGCGGTCGGCAGTTAGGCGGTGGTCCAACGAAGGTTGGGCTAAAGTCCGACGGCGGTCATTGGCCAGGTGATGGTCTGACAAAGGTCGAGTTAAAGTCTGACGGCAGTCGGCTGCCGGGCAGAAGTCCGGTGACGGTCAGCATCAGGGTGGAAGTCCGGCGGCGGTCGACGGCCAGGCAGAAGTCCGATAGCGGCTTTGCGATGGTCTGACGATGGTTGGGTTGAAGTCCTGCGGCAGTCATCAACAAGGCGAAGGTCCGACGGCGATCGGCGACCGAGCGGTGGTCTGACGATGGTCGAGCTGAAGTCCGACGACAGTCATCGGTCGGGCGAAGGAGGTGCTATAGCTCTTGAAGCTTCAAAGCTCTCTCCAATCTCTAGCTCAAAAGTCCCCTTCATGTAGAGAGTGGTGATCTATTTATAGATTTTCATGAGTGACACACCCCGTAAATTTAGAGAAGATTCGGGGCAGGTTCGAAGTGCTCCATCGAATGGCTTGTATTGATTCCCCCGATCGTAGAGTTTTTCAACAGTTTAAGTGCCTTAACGATGTCAGAATTCAGAGATCTTAGACTCATTGGATTTGTCTCACTGAGCCGCTCGATTTGACTATAAGCATGCCATATTTGGATATCATTTTTTCGTCCAAATAATACTTTGACCCTTTCAAATGTGGTCCATGCCCTCGATTCGGACTCATTTGGGCTTGGGTTGGACCAATTTTGGTGTTGTTTGGTTCGTCTCTTTGAGATATTCAGTTTGACTTTAAGTTTACTGAAATTGGAATTAAGATAATCTCGAATTTAATTTTGAAAGTTCCCAACTTAAAAATGCCTCGAGATTTATGCTCGATCAAAATAATTTTCGATAACGTATCATTGTTCAAGCTCGTTTATCCAACGAACATAAACGAGCTCTTATCGAGCCGAGTCACAAGCAACTCGTCGAACGCTCAGTTCATTTGCAGCCCTATTCAGAACAATAAAATACCATCCACAAAATAGAATATTTACATTTATACCAACTTCCATTAATAATTAAGAAAATGTACATAGATACAATGAAATTGGCTTACCAAATCATTTAAAAAAAATTAAATGAATAAATTACATATGCAGCTTAACAACCACTTTCTCACAAGAGTTTTTCATGAAGGTAAATCTGAGACCGATGCGCACAAGATTTTGTCAGAAACCTACACAGCAGTCCAACAAAGTGCCTGCGAAACACTGCTAAAAAATACAGCTCTAGACAGCTATATTTTTCATAAATAAGTTTAATCAAACACAGCGAAAACAGAGATACACAGCTGTAGGGGAAATTTGTATATATAACTAAGATTTTCAGACATCGAATGTAATTATTTTGGCAAGCAAAGGCTTCATTTGAAATGGCTTTCTTACTTCAATATAATTTGAAGATTTTGGGCGGAGCCTATACCATTGAAAAAGACAAAAAATTACAAATCTAAAACCTAAAAAACTCAAAGAAAAAAAAATTACAAGTACTATCAAAGTTGTATCAAAAGGAAGAGGGAAGAAATCTCTATATCAAAAATTGTATGAAACCAAGTATTTGGTTACCAGGCACCCTGAGCAATGAATGTTTCAACCGAAGTATGAGAGGGTAAGGGCGGCTGCATAAGGTCAGATATCGCTTGTTTGTTACACCAAGGGCCCCAAAACATAGAAAACTTACAGCCCTTAGAAGAGACATTAAAGTAAAAGTTATCTTTAGTATTGCTAGAAATATGGCATATAAATTTTCAAATTTTAGATGCTTTAAGGGTCGGCGGTTTCCAGGGAAAGGAAAATTTAACCCTTAACCAATCAGCAAGCAATGAATCTGTAGTGAGCATACGTCAAATGAAAGAGCAACCAAATCCATGGTATAAAGACTGAATCGAAGGGATACCCAGAATGCCTAAATGCTTAGGACGGCAGGTATTTTTCCAAGCAATCAGATGTAGTTTTTTCTCACTAGTAGTGGATCCCCTAATCTAATAGGCCAAAGTGAATAGTTTTTCAATAGCAGAAAAATTTTAATTCAACAAATTTTTGTACTAAAAAGTTGCTCCCAAACAAAGCCTAAATTACTTTGCAGACACATGAAATATGCTCATTAAAATCATTAATTAGCTGCTGCAAGGCCTTAGTACTATTGCTATTTAAACAATAGTAGGATAATTTAAATATTTCCATGTACAGTCAAAGAAAAGTAGAACAACAACAACAACATCATCATCAAGCCTTTATCCCACTACGTGGGGGCGGTTACATGAATCTATTTCTACATTGTATCATGTTATGAGTCAAATTCTTATTTAAATCTAATAGAAAAAAGTCACATCTAATATTTTTTTAACGGGGGTCTTTTTAGGTCTACCTCAACCTTTCTTAACATAAACAAAATCTAATACATCTACTCTCCTAAATGCATCATCGGAAGGCTGATGTTTAAAAATAAAAGTAGAAAAAAAGCTTGCTAAATTGTACTAAATGAGACAATGGAATATTCCTCAAGGGAAAAGTTTCTGAACGAGTAAAGGAAAGCTAGAGAGCATATATCATAGAATAACATGCCTGCAAGGTCTTGGATGAAATAAGGTTCCCAGAACTTTGATTTAAGAAAAATACATAAAATCCTTAACAAATAGATCTTGTTGCCAAATAATTAGGAATGGACATATCCAGTGTCTACAATAACCATTCAAACAATATTATGGTCTTCAGAATTTAATGTCAAAACTTTCTGGAATTTCTAATTTATAAGAGTTTTCCTAATACAATGTATGATATTAATTAAATGGTTCTATCTTTCTTGTATTAGACAGATGCCTTAGAAAATACTTCAGGACTAATGTGTCATTAACTTATCACCTGATTTAAACTTGACATATCTCTTGTTCACATCGACAAGTAATTTTGGATGTAATAATTAATAGTCAATATCTTGTGAATGTGTTTATCTAAACCATGTAAATGATAAATATGATATGAAGCGGATAATGAATATATAAAAACACTAATATGCATCAAGAAGCAAAAATTAAATAAAAATCAATTTGATCATTCAGCACTAATATGACGAGAAGTTTGGCTCTAATACTAAATTGATGTAGAATATTTTATCATCTAAAGTTTCTAATGCAATAAAATGATGCAAATGATGAAAATCAAACAAAATAAATTAATATATTTGGGTTTCACAATTAAAAAAACCACCCATTAAATATAAAGCCCGTTTTCTTTTAATGTAAACCGAAATATAAGCATTTACACCAAATAATAATTTAATGAACGATTAAAAAAAGGAAATTAGCTATAAATTGAAAATCACCAAAACTCTGCAATTCCTTTGGAATTAAAACTGCAACTGAAAACCCAATTGTAATATATTTGACAAAAAAAATAAAAATTACTCACAAGACCACTAATGAATCAAGTATAAAGAAAACAATGAAAGATATCAGTAATCCACTTTTTTCCTTCAACGAGAGCCTGTTCTGAAGCAATTTAGAAAAAATACTCTTTTGATTTATAGCAAATATGAAGAAGCAGTTTTTCTAACTAATTATGCAAGACTACAAATATTCGCTACCATTAACATACCATTTTCTATATTTCTTTTGGGTTAAAATGTCCCACAAGAACTACAGCACACTAGTTTGGATAGCTTCTGAAAATAAATTGAATTTGAATGTCACTTGCAAAGTTTTTTTCTTTTTAGTTTTTTTCAATTTATTTCCACCATAGGAACGCTAGTTATACTTCATCATAACAAAGCAAAAAAAAAAAAAGGAAAAGATCAGCTGACCTGGGTTCACAGACAAATAAAAGCAAGAACAATCCAATCAACATTCCTCGTTAATTAATTATACAGAAGAAAGAGAAACAATGTATAGCTTACCTTAGGAGAGGTATTTGACCTAGTTTTCAAAGTTCCAAATTCCAATAGCCAAACAAATAACAAAATTTTGAGGAGACAGAAAATGATCATTAAAGTAACACATACTAAGGTGAAGGAAGCAAAACCGACGTCAAATTAATCATTTTCTATCTTCTAAGTATTCAGAGCTCAAACTCCACCTCTCTGAGAGCAACCTCTGCTGCCTCTTCCTCCTCGTCATCAAGAACGAAGTACTGGTTCCTCTCCACTGGCCTAAACGTATAGAAAATGAAGATGTAGAATGCGAAGCTGGCGATTTCCTCAGCCGCCACGCTCACCCACCGGTACTTATAAGCAGCAATTGTCTTAAGCGCATATACCACGATCCTAGTGAAGTACAAGTACCCCACCAATACTATGTAGAACTGCCTGAAAAGAGTAAGCTTGGCTAGAGTTCTCGCAGCCTTTCCATCAGTCTTCGAAGTCTCCCTCAGCGTTCGGATTGACCATAGTATGGGGAGCATAATTGCACAGCAGCAGATGATGTCAATGAAGAGGAAGAGCTGGTTCCAGGTAACCCATTCCTGGATGAACGGTCCAGTCTCCCCGATCACAACAGACGCAATGTTAGCGACAACTTGGAGGGGGATCACAATCATGAGAACCTTCTTCTCTCGCTCCTGGAGGAAGGGTTTCAGGAAAGACCATCCGGTCCCTATGAGGATGATGACCGTAAAGAGGAGAACGCCCTTGAGGAACTGGAAAAGGTAGAAGAGGACGTCCCAGCCGTGGGGAGTGCCTGTGACCCGGATATAGTGCTGGTCCTCAGCGGCACAGATGAGATTAAGAGCCTTGGCTAGAAGGAGACCAGACATTATCTGGTGGATTCGATGGGCAGATAAGCGACTCTTCCAAAGAGAGAAGTAGACCCACACGGCGAAGAAGATAACGTAAACGACGGCGAAGCAAAAGTAAATCGATGGGACGGAAGCCCAACCCACGGAGAGGTAGTCACGGAAACCGTCGGGGTGAACATTATACATCTTGGTGAGGACGGACATGCTAACCTGGCTCCCAGCGGCGCAGTTGGCAAAGTAAAGACTGTACTCATCGGGGTGGATGATCGGGAATGAGCGGTTGTATGACTTGGGCGGCGATTGCGAGAGATCACGGAAAGTGAAGAGCGGGTTGACGTAGAGGTTGGAGAGGATGCAGGAGGCATCTCCATCAGGGTTAGCGTTCGAGTTGGATATTTCTTGCTGGGATCCGTAGATGGCCTGAATGAGTTTCTCATCGGAGAGGAGGAAAAAACCGAAGAGCGACGGGTCAGGGGAAGAAACGGAGGACGAGACAGAGACGTCGGAGACAGTAATATCAACGAATCCGCGCCGAGTGAAGCCAAATTTCTCGAACAGGATGATAGAGCGGGAGTCTGTTGTGATCTTTAGGTCTTTTATCTCCGCCACGCAGGCGTAGATCAGGGATAGGAGGAGCAGGAGGTGGACAACAGAGGCCCGGTCCATGACGAAAAGACAGTAAATACGACGGTGGAGGTGGAGTATTTGGTGCTCCTCCGGCGATCTTTTATGGACCGAAGAAATTGAGAAGCCGGGCCTGGCCGGCGAGGTGAGGTATCGGCTTGATCGGAGCAGAGGGAAATGGAATAAAATGCCTGTCGTGCTCCAGCTCTTAAATCTAATATTTAAATATATATTAAAATGGATTTTGATCTGATTAAATTGAATCTCTGCCGTTCAAAGTTAATAAATGGCTAGGATTTGATGCATTAATTTCAGAAGAGCTGCTCTCCTAGAATTTTATGTGACGGAGTCATAAGATAATTCATATGATAAAATACAAATCTCAGTATAAATTTTTTATTAAAAGTTTTTAGAATTAAATTTTGGATCATTATAATTTGATTTTAATAAATTTATCATCAAATTAAATGTTTCAATGAGATCAGTAAAACGAAACAAATTCTAATTTGACTCAAAATAAGCCCAAAATGAAATATTTTCAGTGCAATTGAAAACTTTATATCATTAGTTCATAGATGTCAAATAAAGCAAGTCGATTAAACTAATCTAGCAGCTCATCTTGGCCGGTTGGTTGAGAGTTTTGGCTAGACCTGAAGTTCGAGCCTTATGTATATGAATTGTTTATGTTTGTCTTAACTAATATAAGTGTCTCAAAAAAGAAAGGAATCTAACAAGTCTAAATCATTCAATTCTAAAATCATTAAAGTACTTAAATAAAATTGAGTGTTTCAAAAATTTTGACTAAATCTATCAAAAAATCATTCAAAAAAATTATAAATATATGACTATTCTATACATGAATGAGAGGAAACCTTAAATTGAAATTAGATAATGTCACATCCCGGGAATAGAAGGCGATACATCCGGACAACATGAGACGCGAAGAAGGGATAAAATATGATGTTTTGTACTCACAAGAAGAAAAAGTACATAATCTAATAATATAATCAATTATATCATAATAAATTATGAAAAAGAAATTAAATAGTCATTTCATTAATATGGATTCAAATAATAATACACCAAAAGTAATATGACTATTACAAGCAAAATAAGTCAGAAAGAAATAATAACAAGAATGAAACTATCCAACTCTCAAAATCAAAATGCACAATAATCTACTACATAATATAAAATAACAAATATAGTCTACTACTAATAAATCTGCTCCCAAGGTAGTTGTCCACTAATCAACCGACAGGACATAATGTAAAGAGACAACAATAAATGAGTTTTATAAATCAAACCCAGCAAGTAACTCTTGTCTGTCAAAACATAAACATCAAAGGAATGTGGTAAGCATTATAACAACTAAAAGATCGGAGTAGCGATCTACGAGATGTCATGTGATATATCATGTTTCCTATGATAGATTTAAATATGCTAATGTAACCAATGCATATATCTAACCGCAACACATGTAATATAATTCTAATAAAATCACACTGGGTATCATCATACCCCAAATCAACTATTTTTCATTTATTATTTTTTATCTCAAGTATATATATATATACACACACATATATACACACGTATACACACACATATATACACACGTATATACACACATATATACATATACATACATATACATACATATACATACATATATATATCATACATATATATATATATATATATATATATATATATATATATTGTGTGTCAAGTACCCTTCACTAGGAAAATAAATATCAACCAAAGAAATCTAATGATTTCTTATAGAGTCATTACTATGGGTCCGTCGGCTCGGCTAACTAATATCCAATATAATCTACCAATCTACATACAAGCATATTGTGCATATGCTGTTGCAATAATTTTCATAGGCATTATCTAAATCAACATGCCAAAGATTTGTATAACTAATATGATTTGCAAGAAAAATATTTATTTTATTTAACAAAACTAAGGTGCGTGAATTAAAATTTTCCATCACATGATTTCAACTTAAATAAATAAGAACTAGTGAATAATAAATCAAGGAAGACTTCGTTCTATAACATATTGATTTCATTATGAACAACAAATAAGATTTACTACATGTGTGCAATCATACTTGTTATGTCTCACGTCTTAGTATTTTACAAAAATTCAGCGCGAACAAATAAAAATAATAAGTCTAGAGAATTTTTTGCGTAGAAAATCTGAAAAGGGAAAATATTACGGGGCCTAGCCTAATTAGAAAATTTACTATATAGTAAATGATACAAATATCCTCATTTCTTCAATGTTGAAGAAAATGAAGAGTACAAAGATCAAATTTTCACAGATGGATAATCTATACCCAACAACAAGGATCAATTTTCCCAGGAGGGATTTAGAAAACTGATGTTTACATACAGACAAATATACTCAACAGCAAGGTTAAATCTTCTTTTAGTATTCTGGAGAAAGTGATGATTATTGAAGTTGATCGTCGGTGACTGTTAGTGGCAATAACTGGTGGTAATCGTCGGTGGCAATGGTAAAAAAATGCAAGAGAGCTCTCACTAGTTCTTTCTATGCTTTTCCTTCTTCATCCCCCCCCTTCATGTAAAAAATTGGAGTCTATTTATAATTTTTTCAGAGTGGTGTGCTCAATAAATATGGAGAAGATCCATGATAAATTATGAGTGTTCTATCAGCCAGCTCATAATGATTCCTTCGATCATAGAGCTTTTATCAAGCATTTAAGTTCCTTAATGATGTCAGAATTAAGTGATCTTAGGCTCATCGAGTCGCTCGATTCGACTATAAGCATGTCATATTTGGAGATTATATGGTTACCTAATTAATGCTTTGAAGTTCTCAAATAAGCTCCAGTCCCTTGATTTGAGCCCATTTGAACTTAAATTAGACCAATTATTGTGTCATTAGGTTCCTTATTGAAATGTTCAGTTTAATTGTAAGTTTGCTAAGATTGGTGTTTGGATGATCGAAAATTGAATTCAATATGCCTCGATATTCGTGCTAAATCAAGGTGATATTTTGTGATGTATCAATATTGTTGAATTTAATAAATGACTGGCAACGCAATATCTAGCAACCTAGCTCAAGAAATAAGGAAAATGCCCAACAAAGAAGGGTGTGTTTATCCCTTAATAAATAACAATTACTTACCTCTAGGCCAGTGACGCAAAACCCTGAGCCAAAAAGATGTTCAATTGACAACACCAGCTGGATAATAAATCAAAGGTCCTACAAATAAAAATTCTAATTTAATATTCAAAATAACATTAAAGGAGTCAAATGCTTGAAATATAAATCATGCATAACTCGAACCTAAATATATACATCGAATATTACAAATCAAGCCTACAAAATTATATTTATATAGATCAATTCAAACATCAAACTAAAATAAGACTTTACTCCAAAGCAAGTTAAACCAATGAAATGATAAGACAAACAAAAATCTCCACTAATCGAATCTAGTTAAACATTATAAGAGAATGCATGATTATATAATTTGATAAATATGAAGAAGAAAGGGAAGTGGGAGAAGAGTAAAGAAGATTAAAAAGCTTATTATTGAAGGAGAAAAATTAAAGAAGATACTTGTTATTATAGCCAAAGAATCTAATGGCGGTTACGAGGGAGAAGAGAGGGATGTTTAATGGTTGTAGAGAGGCGAGGAGAATAAGTGATGTCCTAGCCTCCCTTTTGTTTTAAATAGCGAGAGGAAAGGTCAGGAGCGGGAAAATCACGAGAGGAGACGAGAGAATCGCATAATTTTCATGATTGGAGAGAATCTCAAATACGAGAGAGAGAGAGAGAAAGAGAGAGAGAGAGAGAGAGAGAGAGAGAGAGAGAGAGAGACTGCTCGTATGGTTCACTCACGTATGGAAGCTTGGTTTGCTCGATTTAACACAATAGCGAGAGGAAGGGGTCAAGTAGCCTATTCATCGCACGAAAGACCTAGACCGATCGGTCAAGGTTCGACTATTACAAGTAAAACTTGAAGATTTAAAGAACTATAAAATTTTATTTGACATTCAACGCTAATGATTATAGCCATCAACCAATCATTGCCATGGTCGCCAACAATGTCAATGCATGCCATTGTTTATAAAGCTTATGCATATCATCGATGCATGTCATCATCTATAAGGGTGATGCATGTTGTCAACAATAATACCAATGCTTGTCATCGCTTATAATATTAACGCACGTCATCACCAATATGGCTACCATCAACACCAACTTAAACTCTTGCCAAAAAAGAATATTGTTTATACTAAGCTTCTGGGTCTCTAATCTCTTCTCTTCAATGGAGAATACCAAAATATACTACAAATAATCTATTGGATATAACTCTATATCCTATAAGGTTGATGAATGCTATGGACATATCATATAAGACTGATTTATGTCATCAAAATCAATGTTAATGCTAGCTGAATTTATCACTTTACATTGCTTACAATGTTGATATATGTCATTTTCAATAAGGCTGATACATGCCGCCAATAGTAACTCAAGCTTCTGATAATTTGGCTTAAAAGAAAGCAAAATGTGATAAGCATTATAACACTAATGTCCAAAAACTTAGATCAGTAACTAAGTTATCATCAAAGGTTGCAACAAGAGATTCTCATTTCTTCACAATAACAAATAAAACTAATACTTTGCAGAACTTTAAATTGCATATATTTTCTTCTTCTCACCATACAACAAATCTGTATCAGAAAACCTTGACAATGACCGCGACCCCGACCTGCTTAGTGATGATTTCCTATTACTGCTCATCTTTTTCGCTTCAATTCGGTTCACAATCACCCAATATGTCAAAGTACCCAAAGTTGCTGCCAAAATAACAGTCCCCATAACTGTAACTCCAACAGCCAACCAAATCCCATTTCTCCCAACCACAACAAAAGAAAGTGCAAGAAACGAAACTGACATAAGCACACAGGCAAGCCACATCAACTTGTTGATGATAGCCATCATCATCTTCTTCGCCTTGCTCTCTATAACCACTAAAGATGTCTGAACCACCACAACAGCAAGAGATATGAAGAGCGCCACTGAGTCGAAAATGAAGAAGATCATGAAAGCTGTTTGGTGGGCAATGTTGGCTTCCCCCACAGAAATGCCTGGGCTTACAGAGTCAGAATATTGGCCAGGAACACTGAAAATGGCAGCAAAAGCAACGGTGGCTATCAAAACAGCAACCACAGTGGTGGAGTTGATTGCATTGTTGAGGCCTTCTCTATGGAGTTTTTTGAGTCTTTTGGCGATTCCTAATACATGCTTCCTTGTCTGTTGTGTGTGATGGAGCTGAGAATGGACGCCATGTTTAATGTCACTAACTGTTTGTTTTAGTTCGTTGGCGGGGTGGGCGGGTCTGATGGTCCCTGCACTTTGTACACCATGTTTTTTTAATATGGTGACGACTTCTGAGTTTCCAGCTCTTTCTGCAGTGTCTAGAGCAGTTTCTCCTGATCTGTTGATTGCCCTTGTATCAGTTTCCTTGAAGCTTAGCAGTTTCATGACAATCTGCGAGCAGTGTTCTTTGTGAGAAAAATGTGGTTTATTTAACGAAGTTGTGGCAACCATGATGTATATAACAACTGACAAAAAGAAGCTTTAGACTTGTGATACTTCAACAAAATTAATTATCAGAAGTGATTAATGCTCTGCGAAATCAAATTATCAAAATATTGAGAGGAATTAAAGTACTTTCATGTGCTTTCTATTGATCTTGTGGAGAGAAATGTGTTATATATATATAGCACTGACTCATCCAAGTTACTCTCTAGGAAGTTGAGTTGATCATACCAAAGCTATGTTTTCAACCAAATCAAAAATTTGGGCAAGTTCATCAAGCTCGCGCGATGCGACTACTCCAAAGGTCACTCCAATGTCACATAGAAGGCAACACAAGGGTGATGGCTACATCAAGGCTACAAGTGAAAATCGGACACATTATAGGGAGTCAGCTTTCTCAGGAACATTTGAAGCAAGGCTCCAATTCAGCTTAAGCAAGTTAGAATGTTAAGTGACAAGATGGTCGCAACACTTAATCTGAATTAACAGTGTACCTCTTTTCTGTTTCTTTGAGTTATTTTTAGAATGCTTATTTGAATATTCAATTGATTATGGCAAGTATATAATAAAGTATTATCAGATAAATCTCGAGAAAATTGCAAAATAGTCCTGCGACAATTTATGGAAAGCTATTTTAGTCTTAAACTATATAAAACATCTAATTTAATCCATTGATTTTGATTCTTTAAATATCAACTAAAAAATCCCGCAATCAGAAGTTGCAAAAATTGAAGGTAAAGTTAATAAATGAGGTTAATGTTAAATTTAGAGAATTGGAGAGGGAAAATGCTTAATTTTATTGCACAAACTTGTCCCTATTTATAGATCCATACAAAATATCTAAATAAAGAAATAAATAATTAAAGAATAATACATAATTGCTCTAATAAAATCCTTCCTAAATCAGTCATCTAAATATGAAAGGAGATCAGCATGACCCATGTGAGCCTCCTACGGATTCCCATCTTAGCCGTGGGATCAAAATGCTAAGGGACGGCTAGGATTTAATAGGTGAGCCTCCCACGAATTCCCATCCTAGCCATGCGATTAAAATGCCAAGGGACGGCTAGGATTTAACACTTCCCCTCAACCTGGGGAATATAGAACCGTCATTCCCAGCTTGGTAATCAGTCCCAGAAATGTAAAGTTATCGAGTCCCTTGGTAAAAATATCTGCAAGATGATCTTTTGATGAGATATGATCTATACATATAAAATCATTGTCTAATTTATCATTTATGAAATGTTTGTCCACTTCTATGTGCTTGGTCCAATCATGTTGAACCAGATTGTAAGCTATGTTGATTTGTTGTCACAATGTAGCTTCATGGGTCCTTCCCACTTGATCCTTAGACCTTTTAGAATTATCTTGATCCACAATAGATCACATATTCCTAAGGCCATAGCTCTGTATTCTACTTTTGTACTTGATCTTGGCACTACATTCAGTTTCTTATGTCTCCATGTAATAAGATTTCCTCTAAGGAATGTGCGGTATCCTGAGGTAGATCATCTATCTAATGATGATCCTACATAATCTGCATCAGTATATGCTTCAAAGGTTATTCCACAATCTCTTCTGAAGAGAATCCCTTTTCCTAGGTTCCCCTTAAGATAGTGCAATGATTTGTATACAGCTTGCATGTGAGTCTTCTTTGGATTTTGCATGAATTGGATGACCATGCTTACAGTAAATGCTATATCTAGTCTGATATGGGAAAGGTAAATCAATTCCCCCATAAGTCTCTGGTAAGCTCCTTTATCTACATTTGGATCTTCTTTAGCTTCCCCCAATTCGAGATTTGGTTCTGCTAATGTTGGTGTCGGTTTATAAGCTTGTTTACATGTTTCTTTAAGAACATCATTAATGTATTTTTATTGTGAAATGAATGTTCCTTTGCTCGACTGTACCACTTCAATTCCAAGAAAATATTTTAATCTACCAAGATTTTTTTATTTCAAGTTCCTTTGCAAGACATTTTTTTAGAATTACTTTTTCATTTTCATCATTTATAGTCAAGATAATATCATCCACATAAACTAATAAAATTATGACTTCCCCTGAGTCTGAGTGCTTGAAGAATAATGTATGATCTCCTTGGCTCTGCCGATAACTATTAAGTAGCATGATTTTTGAGAATCTTCCAAACCAAACTCTAGGTGTCTGCTTTAGCCCATATAGAGTCTTTTTTAACCTACACGCTTTGTTACCCCCAAATTGTTGCTTGAATCCTGGTGGAAACTCCATAAATATTTTTTCCTCCAAATCTCCATGTAGGAATGCATTTTTTACATCCAACTGTTCCAGAGGATAAAATATTCATTGGTGTTTTTAGTCCCAAGGTTGTTGAAGGTTGTCGGTTTATGAGATATGTGGCAGTCAGAAGTGCTTCCCGCAATAGGATTTGGATACATTGTGGTGGAATAGAAGTGCATGAGTAGAGGCCAGAAAATGATATTTTTCTTTCTACAACTCCGTTTTTTTTTTGTGGGAAATGAATGCAGAAAGACTCATGAATGATACTTTCCTTTTGAAAGTAGGAAGATAGAGTGTGGTTAAAATAATATTAGGAATTGTCGGAATAAAATTTTCTTATTTTTACCCCGAATTGATTATGGATCATTCTGTGAAAAATGGTAAGGATAGTGCTCACATCGGATTTATTTTTGAAGAGAAAGATCCAAGAGACTAGAGTGTAGTCATCAATGAAGGATACAAACCATTAGGCCCCCAAGATGTTAGAAATGTTTTAGGGTCCCTAGATATCACTATGAATAAGGTAGAAAAGGGTATAACATCTCTTAATTTTGTTTGAAAAAAAAAATATCGGTCATGTCTCTGAAAGACCTTTCATGATCTAATGTCCGCATCACCATGAGGATGGGCCCCCGAAGAAGAATATGATGTGTCTTGGAGTCCTTGATGGCAAATCTAGCATTGCCAAACAAGATATAACAAGTGTTATCATTAAGGAGGCAATCAACAGAAAGAAGATTGTGAGTAAGGTTTGGGACATGAAGAACTTGAGGTATGAAAGAGGAGCTTACGAGCAGGTGTAAGCAGAATGCCTTTACCAGAGTGTGCAATTGGAAGATTTGTGCCATTGCTGACTTCAACATGAGAGTTGCCAGAATACGGTTGGATGGTTTGGAGCTAAGAAGGATCAGATGTAAGATGAGTGGAAGTCCCGAAGTCCAAGAACCAGTCTGCGGAAGGTCCACGTCTTCTTGCGCCATCAGAGCTAGTGGTGCGGGTTGATAGGAGATATTTGTATGATGCAAACAAGAGAAGGCAAAGTGTCCTTATTTGTCGCAGCTTTGGCAAACCACTGTGTTGAATGAACAACGACCACCGTGAGGTGTTGAAGAATGTCCACGAGCTAAGCCACGAGGAACCACAAAATGCAGTGAGGGAAAAAGTAGAATCGGCAGTGGGTTTAGTGGTTTGCTTGGTAGATATATTTGTTTCCTCACTGCACAGCAAGGCGTACTAGTCATCTAGACTAATAGTGTGAATTTTTGTCCGAATGATTGTTTTAAAGACATTAAAGCCAAAGGTAAATCATTGAGAGTGTAAAGAATTACATCCTCATTGTCAATGGGTGAGCCAACCGCATTGATGGCATCACCATTAGTCATTCAAACTTAAAAACTTTAGATAGGTCGACAATTAGCAAGGCATGATGATGCGTTGTGAACCATAGAAAGTGGCATAAGAAGGAATGTATATAAAGGGCTTCATAATCGTGAAAGAGCGAAGAATAAAAAAGACATAAGAAAGCAATTTAAAAAAAGGAGCAAATAATCATTTAATCAAACTCAAAATAGAATGTCATGAAGTTCTAGAAAGTATGTTAGTAAGCATTAAGTGACTCGTGTACATCCTGCAATGGCAGACAAAACTCTTGTAAAAATCATCAAATAACATAAGAATCTATCGATCGGCTATTAACAACATACAATTATTGCTGATTACTGAATAACACAATAACCTACCTAAAATTATCAATGTTCTTAGGATTAACTCACTTTAACTCGCTAAAGGTGGTCATTTAAGAAAGGTATTCATCAAAATAGGTGCCAACGATGTAACCCAATTATTTGGTATTTAAAATGAAATTCATTCTATGCATCACACTTCTATCATTCACAACTGATCTTGAACTACTAATGATAGATAATGCATAACATTTCTGTCTGATGGGACTCTCCCAAAGAAAATTGTGTAGTAGTTAAGTTGCCTCTAGAAAAGTAGGGGCTGGCCTTGATCAGTGGTTAAGTTGCATCTAATTTAACCAAGATGTCTTAAGCTTGAATTGCAAAAATAGTCACCCTACAAAAGCAGGGCTAGATCTGCCTACATCAGCCCCTCCCTTAGATCCAACACGAATGGGCTTTACGCACTAAGTACGCCATTTTATCTCCAAATAAAAATTTGTGAAAACGAGTAAGTTTTTCTTCTCCCAGAAACTGATAATCAAGTTGAGCCAAAAAAGATTTACCTGTGGACGCCCCTTTCTAGTTGCCATATGCAATGCTGAATTTCCCTTCATGTCCACCACGTTCACCAGGGTGGGCTGATACTTGAGAAGCTCCTCTACAACCTCCAGATTATGTCCCTTCACTGCCATATGTAGAGCAGTTTGTCCCTTTTTATCATGCCTGCAGGCAATTCCAGGATCATTATCTAATAGAAGCTTCACAACTTCCAGATGCCCATTCCTTGCAGCAGAATGCAGAGCTGTTTTCCCATTACTTCTTGTGATCTTTGTCAAACCCTTATCCACTTCCAGAAGAAGATTTACGATCTCAAGATGGCCTTGAGATGCAGCAGTATGTAATGGCGTTGTGTTTGACAAGTCCGCTGTCATGGCAAGTTCTGGAAAAGACTTCAGCAGCTCCTTTAAAACATCTTGCAAGAAGAATTACTTCATTAGCCAAGTGAATTCACTTAAACAATTGGCTGAGTGGAGAAAAAACAATTACTATTCAGCATAGAAAATGTCCTACTACTGATGATTTGATGATGTTATAACATGAAAATATTTGATGAGAAACAAATTCTTTCTACAAAATGTTTTAGCAACCATTTAGTTTTTGCATGAAAGATTAAAGTAGTTCAATTTGATAAACATACTAAAAATATGACAGTAGAAATAATGCATGCACATCTTGCATTATTAATACGAGCTAAAAGAAAAAACTTATTCTTTTCAAAACAAAAAAAAAAACTTATTAAGGTAATATTGACTTGATGGATCTTAGTTGGGATTCATTCAAGGAGCTGATGCATCCACCCCTCCTACTGGAAGGTAACAATATGGAGTAAATAACTAATTAAGGAAAATTTAAATTAGGAATGGTGGAAGGGGTTCTTTCAATGCTTGTTTTTTATTTTCCTTTTATTCATGCAGTTTGAAATCATTATCACTGTAGCTTCCAGACATAAATTTTCAAGTTTCATTCAGGTTGGTCCAAACAAAGACTAAATTTACAAATACTACAGATGATTCAGCAAGTAGGTCGATGCAAAGACACAAATAACCAAGACAATTCATGGGTAACATGGTAAACACACATTATGGCAAACTGAAAAAAATACAGTTATCTTCCTAAAATTGCACAATTTGTCATGCACATATGTTAATTTTGTTCAGATTTTTTTTATAAATTTGACGAGCAAGTTAAGCATTTGGTTATGTGCAAAAGTAGGCGGAGGACTGTAAGCCACACTTATAAAGAACTAAAACAATTCAAATACATGCACTTCTAAACAATAATTTTGCTTCACATATGCTTTAACAAAAGCTAAATATAAATTTCAGGAGAAACAATTTTATCATGTTTGGAGCATTATAGGAAAATAACAAGATCGGAAGATGCTATCTTTGGAAAGCGTTATATTAGGAGAAACAATTCTATCATGTTTCACATTCTCTGTACTATCTTCACCTCATTGTTTTCTTCCTTTTGTACTAGCCTTGGATTCCTATACATAGGCATCAACTTTTTGCCAATAATATATGGATTTTCTCTCTATTAACAGTGCTATATAAGCTACACCAATAAAGAACTAAGACAATCAAATCTACAAAATCCTACAAAACGGTTTTGCTTTATCTATGATTTAGTAACATCTTAAACAGCTAAAACATATGATATACAATAAAAAGGAAAACCATTTTTTTTTAAAAGCGATAGGAATTCAACATGGATCATACCAAAATCACCTAGTTTGGCTGCAATATGCAATGGATCATAACCATTCTTAGCTTTGATTCCAGCAATCTTAGTGTCATGGTATTTCATCATCTCACTGACAATATCCTGAAATCCATACTCAGCAGCGACGTACAATGCGGTCTCTCCAACTTGGTTTTGCTTCAACAACTCCTCCCGCAACTCCTCATCCTTCAAACCCATAAGGATCTCCTTCACCAAAGCTAAATTTCCAGCTCTTGCAGCTGAATGCAGAGAGCCATCATCCCGTTTAGCGGTGAACTGCCTTCTTGTCTTCTTTTGACTCCAGTTGCAGCTCTCATGTTCGGTTGTAGACTCCATGCCGTTGTCCTAGTTACTAAATGGAGCACTTATTCCAAATTATCTCCTTGGATAATAGCCCGCCAGTATCAAAATCTACAGCACAAAATCATCTGAAACCATGAAGAAAACCTTTTGATACTAAACATGAACTTTAAACCACTGGAAGCACTTAGTGATTTCAACGCATTGGCACAGTTAGAGACCAGCAAAGCATAAACATAACAACTTTTCAAAGTCCACCCACTCTTTCATTTCCATCCTTACCCAATATTTCTTCTTTCACTTAAACTTTGCATCTATGATTGTAGATGTCAATAAAAAAGTGACTACAATGGCGTGCATTTATGAAATTCAGGTGAGCAAAACTGACACGGACATTCTAACAAACAGCTATCGTGCATGGGATTTTTTAGTCTCCACACCTAAGAAACGTACACCAGGCCACAACCGTCCGAAACATGAGTAAAATACTTCAAATTTATAATTATTCTATAATTCACTGGGATCCAGATCTGCAAGCAGAAATCCGTCCAGGAAAAGGTATCAAGGAAGGGAATTTCTGTGAGAAAAAGACCCGAATGTGCGGTATAATCTAAGAATAAGAGAGCAAGCAGACAAAGATCGCACCTTCCTTCTTCTGACAAAGCTCCGAGTCCGAAATCAATCTCAGCCCCCCCAAATCAAACCACTCAAAAGCAGCGAGGATCACATTAGGGCAAAGAAGGAAGCAACGCCTCTCCTTCGCGATACAACTGAGCAAACCAAGTGGTTGAGATGACGCCAGCATTTCCTTGACAGAAAAAGTAGCACACGAAAGGAAAAGAGGAAGCAAGCAGGAAATTGCTTCTAACCGAAGTACCAAATTCGGCATTTTATTTGTTAGCTTTTCTACTTTTTTTGTTTTCTTCTTCCAAAGTTAAATAGTGGCGGCACCCACCCACCTCGGTTGGTTTGCATGCAGGAATAGGATAACTCTCGGCTACTTCGCGATCAAAGCATAGCAACAGAGCGTGCCCATACCCACCCACCCACGTATCCACCCATACCCAATGGGTATGGGTGGGTATGGATATGCTCATGACCTCGTGATTGGATATGGGTGGATACTCAACATCAAAGGACAAATTAATTTACATTACTAATTATCATAAGCATGCAATATATTACAATAATCCTTACTATATAGTGCGCAATATTGAACCGCGTCTTGACCACGATAAATTTTGATATGTGACTTAAAAGTTTGCAGTCAGAGAAAATGACTAAAAACTCAAGGCCATTAATCCGTGGCAGACTGCATTCAAGAAGCGTAAAAAGTGGGTGGGTGTGACATCCCGAAAGTCATCATGGGTGGGCATGGGTGGGCAAAGCCCACTAGCGCAGAGCGAATGGGTACCCAACCAGGACCCCGTGTAGGGCTCTGCATAGCACAAACCAAATGGAAGAGGGGGAATTATAAGAAGGATCCTGATTAGCGCTTAAATTAGGAGAAGGATCACCAGAAAAATAAAATTTTGTAAGCTTGAAAAAAAAAGTACGTTTTTAGGAAAATACGTAATAAAAAAATGTAACAAGAAAAAACGTAAAAAAAAAAGTTTAAAAATGAAAATAATTACTATTTACCCGTAATAAAAAATAAAGTGAAAAAAACGTAAAATTTTAGCCTAACAAGCAAAAAAAATTACCTCTGGTCTTTTAAAACAGTAAATAAAACAAAAATTAAAAAAAAAAATCTTTTTCACTTAAAACGGAACTGAGAATTGCGTTTAAAATGAAAAACGCAAAAATAAACTATATTTTCGGCTGAAAATGCAATTTTTAATTTTTTTTAGTTTGTCTAAAAACGCAAATTAAATTATACAGTCGTTTTTAATTTTATTTTTCTTATGATCCTTCTTCTAATTTAATCGCTAATGAAGATCCTTCTTGAAATTCCTCCAATGGAAGATTAATTTGTCGGGATAAGCACACGTGTTGTAAATAGATAAAAAAAAAAGTATTTCCGCACGTGGCTGCCAATCATGAGAAGAGAACATTTGAGCGACCTTCCCAGCGATTTCTTTGTCATAAAGCTACATAAACATAAAATAATTATTTTTGCAGAATTTAAATGCGCAAATTTATAGTGGAAATAGGCAAATTGCAATATCAAATTTTGTTAGGTGTTTTTTTATTTATATTGTTCCGTCCTAAAATACTCATGGCGGTATAGAAATATAAAGTTTAACTGGTTAGTTATATACAAAAATTCAGCACACAAACAAATGGAAGATTAAGATATACAACGTTCATATGACACATCAGAGTTCTTCTATGAAAGCTTCTGAATAGGAGAAAGATCATATGACATTGCCCAGTTTAAATGAATTCACTAGTGTTTTTAGTTGATTACACATGATGCCCTTCCTTTGAGGGGAAGGCCTCGGCTCGATGTAGCTAATATGCATTATAGAGAGTGCATTACATGGTGGGAGTTGGAATAATCAGTGTTGACATATTTGTTTGGTCGACAGGACCATAGTTGGCAGGTGACCGAAGTCGGACTGTCGTCGGGTGATAGCGGTCGGAATGTGTAATTGGCGGGCAATAGAGGTCAAAGCGACAGTAGTCGGGTGACGATGGTCAGAAGGATCATGGTCGATGGGCAACAGATGTTGAAAGAACAATAGTCGGGGGCGATGGAAGTCGGAAATACGTAGTCAGGTGATAGTGATCAGAAGGATCGTAATCAGCGGGCGACAGAATTCAGAAAAATCGTAGTTAGATAGATGATAGTGGTCAGAAGAATCATTCTCGAGCCACAGCGGTCGGGGACAACATAGTCTGGAGATGTTGGTCTTAGAGACCGTACTCAACGGGCGACGAAGATTGAAAAGATCGTAATCAGGTAACAATTAGTGGCCGAGCAGAATTCTAGCGACAATCGGTGGTCGAGGAGGAGTCTGGTGGTAATAGAGCTCTTATATTTCTTTTCATCTCCACTCTTTATAATTTTTTGGGAATGACATGACCACTAAATAGAGAGAAGTTGGGAGTGTTTCAAATGGACGGCCGACATAGACTCCCATGACAATGGACCATCTATCAAGTATTTAAGTATCTTAATGTTGACAGAATTCTACTGTCTTGAGCTCATTGGATTCGTCTCGTCGAGCCACTCGATTCGACTATAAGCATGTCACATTTGGAGATAATTTGATTATCTAATTTATGATTTAAACCTTCCAAATAGGCTTTGGGCTCTCAATGTGGGCCCATTGAGGTTAGGATTGAACCGATTTTGGTGTCATTAGGTTCGTCTCTTCAGGACATTTAGTTTAACTATAAGTTTATAAGAGTTCATATAGTCATAAATTTAATTTAAAAAATTTCTTATTCATATTTGCATCAAAATTCATGCCTGACCAAGATAACTTTTTTGATAACATATCATATATATTTGTTTGATTCAACTTCATCCATTAAATTTACAAAGGGAGAAAAAAAATTTATGCAAGATATCCTATCAAAATTTAAAAATTTTAACTCTATTTTTAGATAAACCTAATATAATCATCTTTATATGACACTCATCAAACAAAATAAATAAATAAATAAACAATAGTCATTCTCATTCAGTTCTATTGGCGTTTAAGAATCATCAACAAAGTAGTAAATCATCAGTGTAGATTCTATCATTGACTGCACAGTTTACTGCTATCAATATCATTTCAACCATGCCATGCATACAAAAAATTTCTCCCAGAATTATGGGAAGGGGAAACATTTACACAGAAAGGGGAGCTTCAAACTTCAAGTTCTGAAAATTTCATGAATAAGAGATACAACAACAATGGCAGCAGATATCCAAAACACAAAGAAAGCTCCCACACAATAACCCCTCACTTCTCTCTCAGATAGCATATATTGGATTGATCTCTGATTCAGAGGAGTTAAAATGCCATGAACTGGACCCGGCGCTTCTCCTTGAAGATTTCTCTTTTTTCCGGAGCTTTCGGGTCTTCTTCGACTTCACCACATAGTAAGTCATTGTACCGAGAACTCCAGCCATTATAACCCCACCGATTACAGTAACAAGTATGGCTGCCCACTGGAAATGACGACCAACGACAATAAAAGATGAGGCTATGAAAGCGACTGTTGTGCACACTGATGCCAACCACATAAGCTTGTTTATGACTCCAACGACTCTCCTTTCTGACTTTGTTTCCCCCCGGACCAATGTGATCTGCACCACCACCACAGCAAGCGAAGTGAAGAGTGCTACGGCATTGAAGATGAAAAAAATCTTAAAAGAGACGGTGAGAACAGCTACTGCAACTCCATCGTTGTCATCTCCTCCAGGAACAGTAAAGATTGCAGCAAATGCAACTGTAGCAAACAACACTGCAACAACCGTGACAGAGTTTGTGGCATTGTTAATTCCCTCCCGGTGCAGTTTCCTGATCTCTTTTGCAATTCCATGGACATTTTTGTTGGTTTTTCTGGTCTGCTCTAGCTGCGTGTGAACATCTTTTTTTATCTCTGTGACAGTCTTCCGAAGCTCGTCTCTGGGTTGGTTTAAGTCATTGGCTCTAACTGCACCATGCTGCGATAAGCATTCCTTAATAACTTCAGCTTCTTCTGAAAGAGGTAAGTTTTCAGCAATATCGAAAGCAGTCTTGTGATCTCTGGTCAATGCATTTACATGGGTGTCTGGGAGTAGCAATAGAGCATTTACAATCTGCAAAAAGAATTCAACATAATGATTTCTCCAACAATAACAGAAACAATCAGTTCAAAACACAAACGCAGCTCATCTTGATCTATTAGTTAGGAGCTTTAAATACCAACAAAAACATATTGGATTCAATGTTTACGTATGTGATGTGTGCTTGAGTTTACTGATAGGAAATACTTGAGTTGGCAAGTAATCCTATCGGATTTACTTGGGTTTGCAAGCAATCCTAGCAATAATTGGTTCAAAACAGCGAGAGAAAGAAAAAAAAAAATTGGACAAATCAATCTACAAAAGATAGATTGTGATAGTGGAAACAAAGAAAAGTAAAACTCAAAGCAAGATACAATTGATCATCAATTCGAGAGGAGGATCGTCTCTCCCAAATCTCTAGACAAGAGAGTCTAGAGCCCAAGTCGCCCTAATTCCAATCAATCAAAAACATAATCCCTCATAATACTCTCATGCTCTTTAATACAAAAGCTTTCCTAATCTAATTTCACTCCCAAGCCCTAGTTGTCCCCTACTTTTTAATTTGAATTCAAGTAGACAAGTGGGGCCCACACTTTGGGCGGACAAAACCAAGGGAGGCAGATTGCTTCCGCCTCCTGTAGAAAAGCTGAGCCGGCCCTTGGGCCGGTTAACGATTACCTTAATGAGCTCAAAAATATAAAAAAAAATTTCAGAACATGGTAAAGCAATACCTCAGCTCGCTTTTTCCTCGTGGCCACATGTAGTGCTGTGTTACCAAATTTGTCCGGTAGCATAACAATTGCTGGGTCAGCATCAACTAGAGCTTTGACCACATCACAGTTTGTTCCTTTCACTGCCATGTGCAAAGCAGTTTGGCCTTTCTTATCAGTCCTTCGGGCAAGTTGTGGGTCTTTATCCAATAATGCTTTTACAACATCAACATGCCCTTGTCGAGCAGAAAAATGTAATGCATTTTTGCCATTTGTCTTGGCCAACTCAACCATACCAGAATCCTGAGCCAAGAGCATTTGTAATACTTCCTTGTGACCCCTTGTTGCAGCAGATATAAGGGGAGTTGTATTTGAGGGGCCAAAAGTTCTGCTGAGTTTAGGATCAAGGTCCAAAAGTGCCTGCACAATAGCTGTATGAACATTAATTAGTGATATCGCTGTTGTAACATTTATTCTGTTGGAGAAGTAAAATCATGTTGAGAAACAAACAATAAATAAAAAATTGCATCCGAAAGAGAGAACACCTAATGTGGACAAATCCAAATATTAAAAATATTATAGAGCCACATCATACCAAGAAATTTACTATAAAAATTTAGGAGAAATTATATAGAACTCTTTTCTCTTTGACTCTCTCTTATCTCTCTTCACTCTTGCACCACTCTCTTACATGAAGAAATAAAGAGAAACCCACCTAAACCACCAAGGGATGCAACTTTTCATGAAAAACAAGAAAGAAAATTCCCCAGCTCGCCTCATAGGGCCACAGTGCTAAGTTTTGTGCGTCGCGGCGCTCAACTCTGTCTACAGTCTGTCTGACAGCACCGCAGCGCCAGGATCTGAAATGCCGCAGTGCTCCCTAGCAATGCTAAAGCACCCAGGTTTGAAGCGTCACAATGCTCCACTCTTTGTCTATCTCCAAGCAAACTATACAGCACCGCAGCACTTGGGTACATAGAACCATGGCATAGTTCTGTTGTACAAAAAAAAAAATTCAAGGAGGACCCCTCACAAACCCCTAGCGAGCTCAATCGATGGAATTGAGGTCTAAGGCAACATTACAGCTCAATTGATCGCAATCAAATTTCACACAAAACTAACATATTCATAACTGTAAAGTGAACATATATACTTCCAGTTACTGTATACAGGCAAATACTAGTGGTTGAGGCTATTATGGTACAAAAATTCATTGTCATATTTCCTAACTGTTAGTTTATAGTAAAAAAAATTTTAAGGTTATAAACCGGTAAAAATACAACTAATTTCATCCTAAGTAGAGAATAAAAGGAAAAGAGAACAAGGGAAGATAATCTGTGCATGAATATTTCCAAAAGGTTCAACCAGTCAATGTTAAATAGTATTAATTAAGCAACTTTGGAACCCCAATCTACCGAGTCATCTTACAGTCAAAAAGTCTAAACAAAAAATTAATTTGAAAGCAAGTACTGTACTACAAGCAAATTTTGAACCGTTTCTAACATAAGTTCGGCATGAAGAGGAAGTTATACTGACTCCTCCATCAGAACTCAATAATAATAAAAGGATTAATGTTTAAGCAAAAATCTAACATGCATGATTTTGAATCTCCTTTTCTTTACGGAAACTAAATGCTTCCATAATCAAATTAAAACAAAGAAAGAACTAATAAGCCATGCGTGTGCTTTGTCTATGAAAGGGTCAAAGTAGTATGAAAGGCAGCTCATTTTAACCTATTAATTAAGAGCTTAGACTTCTATCCAAGAGGTTTAGATTTGAGATATTGCACATATATGTAAATTTGAAATTAAATTCACTCAAAAGTCCAAAAACAAAATAAACAAAAAAAGAAAAGGGCATCTAGGTTCCCTCACTTTGTAGTTTGTAGTGATTAATGACCTTGTAACTGAGAAATTATTGGCGAATCAGGTGCAGCCACATCAACGGTACGAGCTGTGGTACCGTGCGGTACCAAGCAGTACCGAGCCGCAGTACCGAGGGAAGAAGTAATGTGACGCAGTCTGACTGGTCTCCGGCATTCGACATCCACACAAAATAACTTTTCGTTGTAACTGAAGTGTACTTCGTGAGGCCCAAGTTGTCAGATTGTCACTCATACAAAAGTTCTTTCAAATCATAGCTTTCTCATTCTTGTGTAGAATATTCCATTTATTTGTTTCTCTTCCTTATATGACAGCTCTAGAACACTGATTTTTCACTAATTCTGAGCTATGATTAGAAATAGAGTACAAGATCAAATTCTAAAATAACCAAAAAAACTGAAGAAAATCAGGATGAAGTAGTCATGTTTGAGTCTACAACTGATCTAAATATCAAAATATTTTTGTTATGTTTTATGGGTGAACGAGTACTCATAATTTTGGGCGAGTGAATATTTCCATATCTCATTCAAGTTTTTCTATCATAATAATAAAATCCTCCTTCCTTTCAATCATGCACTTCTGTTCTTGACTGCATCAAATATAAGGAAAATAATCGCTACTGCAAACAGCAACTAAATGCAATAGAAGAAGAGAACCGCCAGAACTCCAATTTCCACAAAAAATTCAATGCAAACAGCAAAACTGATAGCAGAAACTAACAAAAAGAGCAGCTTTCCTTGAAAAAAACAAAGGGCTTAAACTTTAAACCCGCGATAAAGATGATAAATACAGAAAGCAATACTAACCCTGGTGCCCTTCTCGGCTTGCCACATGCAGCACATCGAACCCAGAACGATTCTTCCTCGTGACGCCCTCCTTGTCAGTATATTTCAGCAGTTCAACGACGATGTCAAGGTGCCCCTTCTCCGCCGCCACGAACAGAGCCGTCTCTCCGACCTCGTTGACCTCGTTCACCATCGCCGACCGAATCTCCGCCACCTCAGCATCGAAATCAGCCCCTGACGACGTCCCCGTCATCAACGCATCAATCGCGCTAAGGATCTGCCGCACCGCGCCCACGTCACCGCGCTGCGCCGCCAAATGGAGCTCCGTATCATTGTGCCTCCCCGTCACCTGTCTCACGTACTTCTTCTTCCACGCTGCTTGGTCTATCCTGTTTCCCGAATTCGACAGCACCAGTGCTGGAGCCGCGGCTCTCGGTGAAGGACCGGGCGACGGCAGCGGCGAGCCGATGTGAGTTCCAGTTGATTGCGTTTCTGGGGTGATTTCCGGATCTCCTTCTCCTCCTGCTGCAAGATAGAAACCACCAATCCATTAATTTCGAAATCAAAATCCTAAATCATCAAAAGAACGAACCTTGAAACGACTCAAGCCCCATGATGGTAGGCGGAGGAGGCGTACACGTAGCACTATCGCAAGCTGCGGCAGCAGCAGGGGTTGGGGTCTATCAAGGAAAGGCAAGAGGAGGGAAAAGGTGAGAAGGCATGGCGGGGAAGGATCGGGGAAGGAGCGGGGCAGCAGGTGGCGGAGCAGATAGGACGGGGAAAAGACAGAAACGTAAAGCAAAAGTTGGGCTATCTGCAGAAAACTTATCATATCATAAAACGTTGTAAAAGAAGATAATAATATAAAATTTAATCCATTTTATAAAAAATAAAAATTATATATTTATGTCTTATGCATAATATTATTAATATTATTATCTGTAATATAATAAATTTAAGAAGAATACATATCAATAAGTTTTTATATTTAATATTTTAAATTTAATTTTCCATATTTATTTATATATTATCCTAACATTAAACACTTTAAAATTTTCATTAACGTTAATTAAATATATATTTATGAATAGATATTTAGTATAATTAGTTATAAAAATAAATAAGAAAAAATTTAGATTATAATATATATATATATAATAATCTAATAATATAAATACACATTCTCATTCATTTAATTGTATTCTACAGGCATTATAAAAATTTAAAATAATTTAATGATGTCAAAACACGTTAATGAATCAAATTTGATTATAATTAAATATGATTATAATAAAAAATTAAATCCAGAAGCACATGAACTTCTATTTCAGCGACCTTACAGTCAAACTAAGCGTCTCGGAGATACGAACCCAATGACACCAAATTCAACTCAATCCGAGTCCAAATGAGTCTGAATCGAAGACTCGAAGTGTTGTTGGAAGGTTCAAATCACAATTTGAGTTACCAAACGGTCTCCGATTTTAACAGCTTATACTCGAATCGAACGGTCTCGACGAGACGAATCACAAACGAGCCCAAGATTGCGAATCCGACATCACTATAGGTCCTTCAAATATGTCACATAACTATGCGCACGATCGAAGGATTCAACATCAACCTGTCCATTTGACCACTCCCTATTCTGTTCCCTGATCTCACACTTATTTACTAAGTCACGTACTCCAGAAAATTACCTATAAATAGAGCCCTCGTCTTTCCACAGGATTCAAGTGAGAAGAGAGAGAAGCAAAGAAGCAGGACATCAGCTCCTCCATGACCACCGCCGGAGTTCTTCCCGCCGCCTCATACGCCGCAATTCTGCCGATAATTCGGCGAACGCCGGGATTTTACATAACTTTGTTTTTATTCAGGAGAAACTAGTGTAATCTGATGTTCCAACTTGTGGGACGAATCAGGTTCTTGTAATTAACGCAACACTGTGAAACTTTTCAACTGGGGGTGGCCCGTGTTTTTCACCTTTTCAGTTTTCCACGAAAAATCATAGTGTTCTTTTATTTTCTGTTTGTGTGTGTTGAATATTCGTACAACGCTCGAACGTGAAATTACAACTCTACCGCCGCTGATATTCTAGCCTCGCAACAATATTATTTATAAAGTATTTGATAAAATTAAATTTATTATATATACAAGTGATGGTTCAAATAAAAAAAAAAAGTCTTATACAATATCTTGAAAAAAACTCGTTTATTGGGAAAAGTGGGCTTTGGAAGATGACTGGAACTGGGAGAGAGGGAAGCCGACGATTGGCCCATCGAGCCGTTTGTTGTTAGTTTTCTGAATATGTACGGTATTTACTTGCGTAATTTAATTAATCAATGCGTTAATAATTAATGAAAATCATTAGTATTTAATGAGGTATTAGAATATTAACTATCAGTCAACTGAGGGCCGCCACTTGCTGTCGGACATTTGATTGCACTGGGTTTGTAAAATTTAAGAACAATATTTTTATTTCTTTTTGGAAATTTACATAACATCCATTTATAAACATCATATTTACATATCTAACCCTAAAACTTTAATATACATGCATACACCCTATATTTATTTTAATATCAAATATACCACTTATATTTCTTTCCGTCCACTCATATATTTCATTTCTATCGCTCATATTTGATATGAAAATGAACTATGAGTGGTATGTATGTAATATTAAAATTTTAGGTGTTAAATATGTAAATAGAATAGTATTAAGTGGTATGTATGTAAATCTCCCTTATTTTTTTTACTAAAAATTTTGATTTAAAAGGCTGTTCCAAAAGAAATCATAAACTATTAATATTGAAATTTATTTAGTTTTGTCAAATTGATCAAATGATTATTTTTAATTGTTTTTTGTTCGGAACAGTTTTCTTACTGCATTTTAAAATCATTTTTTAATAATTTTTTTAATTAGATATTCTTATAAAAAAAATTATTTTAAAAAATATTAAGAAAACTGTCTCAAATGAAGCTTAAATTTGTGAAGCTCAAAGTTGAACAGAGCTTGAACTCATCAATTTTTTTGGGGGAGAGTCTTTCGCTGCTGGTCTAAGAGAGTCTTTTTACATTAGCTTCGATTTTACAATGTGCCGAATGAATCTTCTTAAGAAGTCTTGAGCCAAATCTCTTCAAGCCATTGAAATTCTAGGCGCGTTCATATCTATTTCAATTATCTAATAACAAACATCTTTAATGCAATCCTAAATCATGTGATATGCCAAATATTTTATGAAACACATTTAGATAAGTAATTGACGCCCCTATGTTAGCTTACAATAAGATACCCATCATTGCTTAGCTTGGTTGATGGGTGAGTACGGTTGGGAACCCCATAACCCGTTCTTGATTCCCCTCGAGCGGTAGCGCCTCTTAAGTGGAGCTCAACAAGAGCATGCCAAAAGGTTTTTGGAGTGGGTGCCTCTTGTTGGTCAGCCGAGAATTAGTCATGCCACCAAACGCCCTTTCAGGGATGACAACGGGTGAATACCCTGTTCCAAAAATAATAATAATATGATATCCTTCAATTATAATTGATCATGCATTGTACCTTTTTAACTTCTAAGAGTTCTCTTTCTGATCTAAGAGTCCTAATTTTTTTTCATTCTCTAATAAAATTTCTCTCGATCCTTTAATACATCTTTTTTAGTCACATTAGAGTAAATATTGAAGGGCAAAAAAAGCAAAAATGTGTGATAAATACATAAGACATTGTAGAAAATTATATGTCATTGGATTCTCCTTCAAATGAGTAGCTTCATTGCTGGAAGTTTATTTTATCGCATCAGTAAAAGATTGCAGAAATTATTACGTTTGTAGTTCGGACAGGAAAATCATCCAAATTCCGTGTGAGTATACAACAAAATATACAGCAAAAAATAAAACTATATATGTGTACCCTCACAGAATTCGAATGATTCTTCCCTCCAAACTCTGCATGTAATAATCATTTCAAAGGTTGCAGAGTAATAATCATTTCAAAGGTTGGCGTTCAAGTAGCCGAGCAGCCCAACATTAAAAGTCTAGAAATGGATCATCGTAGAAGCCCATAAAAAGCCTTATTAAATCTCATAAATGGGCCGTCTACTAGCCCAAGATCAAAAGATTAAAAAGGCTTTTATGAAGAAGGATGTAGAATTTTGTTCATAAAAAACTAATATGTTTCTCTTCAATTTATATGTTCTCAACGAGTTGATAGTCGCTTGCTCAAACGTACAAGTTAAATAATTAATTTTTTGAAGTATAAGATTTATAAATATACATGATTAAATATTAATTTGGTCAAATGAACTTTAATATTAGTCATATATTTATCATTATAATCTCTTAAAATGAATATGATGAAAATAAGATTTGTTAATATGTGATTCATGTCTTATACGAAAAAGATCAAACTCGATTATTATAGATCGAAATTGAACTCAATTATCATTCAGATAGAAACTTTGATTCGAACCCATCTTAATTAAGTCTGACTCGACTAAACTCGAGAATTTATTTGTTCAAATATGGTTAATAATTACTTAACTAAAAATGATCAATCACATTGAACTCAATGCGGCTTGAATAAAAAAATTAAAAAAAAATAAAGAATTTCAACCTACCTTGATTTTTAACTTATTTATATAATAAAAAAGGGCATTAACATTCATAGCACTTAATTTTATATTTTTTATTAATCAAGTCAGCCAGACATGTGTGATGAAGAGGCGGGCAGCTAAGAGGAAGCTCGACAAAATCAGGCACATGAGAATGTGCATAGGGAGGGAAGCTATAGAGATAGAGCAGACAGATGGTTGTGAAACAAAGTAGACATGTACGTAAACACACATGGATAGTGAGTAGAATTACTCACTATTCCTAACGTACATTATACCATTCTACTTCATCAAATAACATAATAAATGATGTTCTTTTTCAACCCTGAAATGATATTTAAAAGTTAAAAAATACTTCAAACCTTAATTATATTCAATTCATATCTAAACAAATGTATACTTGCAATCATGTAGACATTTATATTTGTATTAAAGCATATATGCATATACATTGTGTCATATCCTATGATCTATTAGAAGAATTAAATCTTAATCCTAATTATCTCATCATCAAAGCAAAATATATCAAAGCCACTAAACATCATAAATTATAATAAAATAAAAGATATATATAATTGCAATCGATATTTTTTTCAAAAAGAATTATTTACAATAGTCGAGAACAATTATTAAACATCAAAATGTATAAACAATATTGGATTATGAAAAGAATACCTTGACTACGCTAGCTCCTAACAGACTCCAATTTGACCAACTCATACTCAACCCACTTATTTTCCATTTCCTAAAATAGCAAATTCTTCACAGAGTGAGCAACGATATGCTCAGTAGGCTATCCCAAAAATCCTATCATAGAGATCAATGTTCATATTTGTAGTTTTACAAATAAATAATTCGGATGACTTTTATAAATGCAACAAAAAAATAACTTTAACACTCATAAAACAATAACATCAGTTTACTCATGCTTAGTGTTTAACATTATCAGAAGAATAACATAGACATGACTTGAACTTGAACATACATAGAAATAACATTTCATAACTTGTAGTTTGAACTAAATATTATAAACATTAACATGTTCTTTCATTTGAGTGTCAATATGTACTTATCAATATGAACATTACTTGCATTTGAAGTTATTTCACTTAACATTGCATGAAACATATGAATTATGATATATATGTGTCATGATGTCTACTAATTACTCTACTATGACTTATGTTTCTCTTGATTAGTCTACAGGCACAAAGCAAATGGAGCTGACCCATGCCTCATTCCTCATATAGCTCCACTTTCATGTATATCTCTCTTGATCCTCTCACACATGCACAAGGTAGATGGAAACATAAACAAAACATAACAGAATATAATATAATAGAGAGGGCCTTATAACATTTCTAGTAGTGCTCCTTGATATCTCCCATTATAGAACTTCCACCATAACATGATATACACATGCAAAATTTGTATGTTTAATACGAAATTATAACACTAACAATGAACACGAAAATGCATTATTTGCCACCAATAAGACATTTCAACAGGTAATACATGTATAATTCCCATAAACACATGTCATTTATCATTTGAAAAATAATTCATAAGGACCTTTAAAATATTATTGTAAGACTTTTAATGAACAATAGTCAATGCTAGGAATATTATATTTAACATAAAATAATCAATAATTTATATACATGCAAAACTAACTAGTAAAAAATTGACATCTTACAATCAAAACTATCAGAATATAACATTCTATAACATATCAAAATTTACATAGTGAAAAATCTCTCAAAATCATTAAAATCATATTTTATCTCGTAACTTTTTATACAAACATTGAAATTGAAATCATAAATAGGGTATTGGGAGCATACCTCAAGATGAACGCTTTCAACATACCCGACAGACAAATCTCGCATTTTGGCCTATGAATCTCTCCCTCTTCTTACTCTCTCTTCCTTCTTCTCCCTCTTTTCTTCTCTTCTCCTCGATCCAACAACAGAGTGTGTGGTGAGGTGAGGAATGAAAATGAATTTAGATATTTTATATATTAAAACTCATTTGAGTGTTTAGCGTCACAGCTCTCCAAGGCAACACCATTGAGCTAGGCCTAAATACTACAAATGCTCCTAAACAAAAAACGGTACGACAACATTCATATTTTCCAGCACTCTCAGTGCCTCTCATTTTCCTTCCAAATAGAAAGTTTAGTGCTACATCGCCACACACTCCCTCAGCCAAATTCTTTCAATCAAATAGGACAGCGCTACCACATCTTGTCGCAGTACCGTTAGGAGCTTTCTGCCATTGACTTTTCTATTCTTTCTTAATTCCATCCCAGTCTCCCAGACTCTTCTAGATTTTAAATAAATACTTAATAATTTGAAAATTCCTAAACACTTAATATACACAGAGGCATGCATGAATTTCTTTCAATGTTTGAATCGGGTTGACCCACTCCTATAGCAACAGTCATTACACATTGATATTATAAACATATTTGTATCTAAATATATTAATGCATGTATATATATGGGGCATTAAAATTTTATCTCAAAAAAAAAACTAAAATTTGGTCGAAAGATTAAAAATTATTTTTTTTTCTATCAAAATTGCTTCTATGAGTAGAACCTAACTATTTTCTCAAAGAGGTGATCAATTAGGAAGCTGACAAAAGGTTTATAAAAACTATGACTCGCTCAAATTTAAAATTCTACAGACATTATCCTCACCATTGATAAGAACAAATGGAGGTATTAATTAATTAATTAATTAATTAATTTTTTAATGCCTAATGCGTTATAAAGAGCATCTCTCAAGCTCTTAGCAAACACTAAAGATCAATATTCAAGCAATCTCCTTTAGTCTTCCTGTTCTTTTCATCAAAGGAGGCTTAAACCTATGGTATGTACTACTAGTACTAGTAAAGAAACCAAATCAACATATCTTTTGTTTGATTTTTAAGATCTCTTAATCCAACTCTCAACTGAAGTTCATAGCTTTGTTTGCTTCTGATGTCAAATTTGCAGGCAGGAGGCATTGGAAGTGCGAGGTATGATGAGGTGAGAAAAGAAGTAAAACTGTAAAGAAAAAGTTTTATACTTGCTGAATGGTAGTGAAATTAAGAGAGCTCTAATGTTTTTTTTTTTTTTCTAATTCATAGGAGTTCACAACAGGTTCACAAGGGGTGAGGCTGTTTACTTGTCGATGGCTGCCGGAGAAACGAGATCCGAAATCTCTGGTTTTTCTCTGCCATGGTATCCTGTTTGTTAACAGAAGCTTAGTTTGTAATCTTTTCTTCATGTTCTCTTCTTCTGATATATTGCTTTCATTTTGTTACAAGGATATGGCATGGAGTGTAGCATCTCAATGAGAGGTGAGGATGGTTTTTCTAGCTCAAACAGTTCAGGTTTTGTTGCCTGATTGCTTAAAGAGCTAACAATTCTCTTTCTGTGCTCAGTCACCGGTACTCGATTGGCGAAAGCTGGTTTCGCCGTCTATGGAATCGATTACAGAGGACATGGCAAGTCCACTGGCTTGCAGGGCTATATTCCAAGCTTTGATGAGCTTGTCAATGATTGCTCTAAATATTTTACATCTGTTTGTGGTAAGAATTACTGTTTCCTACTAATAGGCTTATTTTCCTTGAAGCAATAATCCAATTTGATGTTGTTTTCTACTTTCAGAGATGATGGTAAACAGGAATAAGATGAGATTTCTACTTGGTGAATCCATGGGAGGAGCTGTTGCTCTTATGTTGCATAGGAAGAAACCATCCTTCTGGCATGGTGCGGTTCTGGTTGCTCCTATGTGCAAGGTCTTTTCTCCTCTTTAGAACCCTTTGCTTCTTCAATGCGAGAAAAGTCTAAGAATCCATTTGGGACAACTTCCTAGCTATTTTATTCTTCTGTCGCATTGTTATTTGGTCATTATTTTCTTGTTATTTTTTTCATGTTTTCACAATCAAAGATGTTATTGTACAGTAGGTATAAGAAATCTGTTTTTTTAATAGATGCTTTAAAAAAAGTTGCTTTCTCATAATGATTTTGCAACTACTTTTGTTAATAGTTGCAATCATAATCCTTATTTTCTCCATTTGTAAACCAATATTTTTATTCAACAAAAAAGGATAACTGAGTACATCTTAGTAGAAATTTGCAGAGGAAGCAAGAATTTAACTACATGACAGTTCTAAATTTGAAGGTATTATTGTACTGATTTGGCATATTTACAGATTGCTGAAGAGATGAAACCACATCCACTGGTCATCAAAACCTTAACAAAACTGAGCAGTGTTATTCCAAAATGGAAGATAGTTCCTTCCAAAGACATCACAGAGAGCGCATTCAAGAATCCAGATTGGAGAGATGAGGTAATTAATCCATTAAATAATTTAAAATGACCTTTTGGGATTAAATTCTGATCAATTTTATACTAAATTGGACTAATTTTGTATAACGGAGAGGCTAAATTGGAGCGATATAATATTCTAGGACTAAATTGACTGCAAATGACTAATCTTCTTATGTTACTTTTTATGACAATTCAAATCTGCAGATTAGAAGTAATCCTTTTTGCTACAAGGGGAAGCCTCGCCTACAAACTGCCAAAGAGCTTCTCATGATCAGCATAGACATTGAGAAGAACCTTCATCAAGTATCCTCCTCTTATTCCTTCTGTCAAGTAACAGATCTCTCATTGTCTAGAAAAAAATGACCAACATATTTCAATATGTTCATTTCCTCAGGTCTCATTGCCTTTCCTGGTAATTCATGGTGGCGATGATACGGTGACAGATCCGACAGTAAGCCAAGCCTTGTACGACACCGCCGAGAGCAAAGACAAAACCTTCAAATTATATCCAGGAATGTGGCATGCACTGACATCTGCAGAGTCTCAGCAGAATCTCCATCTCGTCTTCTCTGACATTCTGGCATGGCTTGATGAGAGATCAATGAAAATAAGCTCGGTATCAGAGATGGAAAACAAGCCTGGTTATGACAAACAAAGGGTGAAACTTCCGAAATCTGTGAGAACAGGGGCACCAAAGATGCGTTGATGCAGGAAGCATTTTTATGTTGGTGTTATAAAGAGGATGTTTTGACATTTGTCAACAAAATGCAAGCTGATTATTCTCTCAGTCGAATTCCATGATTTAAGCTTCTTTTGGTAGGGTTTTTTATTGTTTCTTAAAATGGAGTTATAATTTTTTACTAAAATTTTGTTTTAAGAAACAATAAAAAAGTCATCCAAATGAATTCTTAAACATCTTTGATTATGTTGTATTGTGCTGTTATGTTCTAGCAACGTCATAATGAACTTCTCTGAGGTTTTAAATCATAGAATTTTCACAATGACGACCAAATAGTCATATATGAACTTTTATTAAAATGTTGGAGAGACAAAATTGAAATGTTTAAGCAACACATACGCATGAGGCATTTGACAAATGGCAGTGGTGTTTGAGAAATTGGTCAACCGCTAAAGAAAAGAACAAAGCAAGATATAGAAAGGAACGAAAATGAGATTGCAAAACAGACAGGCCAATGCAACAGTTGGCACAGAAATGATAATTTGACAAATGGCAGTGCTAGAAGTTCTGCTGATGTTTGTTCAACCAATGAATAAATATATCCAGTTTAAATAATCAAACCAAAACGCGTTCTTTTTTTTTAAAAAAAAAGGAGAAATGAGGTGAAAGTCCATCGTCATCAAAATTGGGTTTTGCATAATCATGAAGTGATTGGCCATATAAGACCATCTCCAACCGAAAATCTCATTTTTTACTTCAAAATGCCGTGAAACTAAAAAATGATGTGATTCATCTTCAATCAAACTCCATTTTTCCCCCTTTTCAAAGGTAACGGTCTTTCTTCATTTCACACGTTTCTTCGGGCAAGTTCGGTAGAGACAGAAAAATAGAGTAGATGACAGTGCAACGTCAATATTGACGTTCCACTGTTCACCCGCAACCAAATAGCGGAATTTTACCGTTCAGCTGGAACTCGCGAGCGACACCATTCAGGCGTTTGGAGTCCGGTTGAAGATGCCCTAAGATTAAAAAAAATGATTGGCTATATGACTGTTGATTTGGAATTGATTTTGGAAATCTTTCCAAATCGTGAAAAGCTCTTTTTTTTTAAAGCTTTTAAGTGGCTGATTATTGCATTAATTAAAATCCTGATTATTGTCAAAAATTAGGAGAATTTATTGATGCTTTGATTAGGAAGGCTCCCTTTTTTGTGTCTTGCCTCAAATCTATATAATGGGGTTTGAAGACTGTGGTAAAGGATATGGGAGCTAGAGAGAGACAAATTGTAATCCTTCATTTCTCCAATATTGTGAAATCATCATCTCCTCCCCGTGGACGTAGACATCTTCGCCGAACCACATAAATCGCCGTATTCATTGTGTTGGTTGTGCGATTTCTGGTTTGGTTTTCCACTGTCTTTTCACAACAATTCGTATCAGAGCTAGAGTTCAATAGAATTTCGGTGACTGCATAAAGAATAGAAGATTAATCTATTGGTGTGGTTCATTCAAGCGAAGTAAGAATGGTGCAAGAGCGTAGCCCGTGTATCAGGCAGATCGCGGGAGGGTTCCATGTAAGAATGGTTCTTGCATGCATATGTGTTTATGCATGAAGAAGCTACAAGCGTGCAGGCCATTCGCGTGTGTAGCGCAAGTTTACGAGCTGAGTACCGGCTAATTTTTTGTCAAAAGACTTTGTGCAACGAGAAGGAATTGATTATGATGTGGTATTCTCCCTAGTGGTCAAGCATCCCTCGATCCATATTCTCTTAGCACTTATATCACACTATGGTCTGATTTTAGAGCAACTCGATGTGAAAAATTATGCTCTTACACGAAGAATTCTAGGAAGAGATCTACATGTTACAACCACTTGGATATAGTGTCTCAAAAGATTGGTTTGTAGATTGGACAAATCTTTTTATAAGTTGAAGCAGTCACCACGACAGTGGTACAAGAAGTTTGATCAGTTCATGAATAGAGAAGAGTACAAAATCAAATCAGTGTCATAAGAATGATCAAGAGAGAAAAGATATGCGATCGATTTCGTATGCTAGTGTAGTTAGTAGTTTGATGTGCATCAAGGTTTATGCTAGGTGTGAAATCTCTTAAGTAAAAAAAGCTAAACTCTTAAACAACGAGGCACCTTTTGGTGTAAATATTGGAATTTCATTTAAGAAACTTCATAGTTAAGCGTATTCATCTCGGAGAAATCATAGGATGGGTGACATTCTAGGAAGTTGCACTTATAAAATAAAATCGTGCTGTCCTTAAGCCAAAACAGACAATATATTGATAGTTAAGAGTTTGGACTGTTACACTAGGCCAAACATAACACAAGCAGTTGATGTTGTGAGCAATTTAATACATGATCAAGGAAGTAGTCATTGGCAGGCTGTGAAGATTATATTGAAATATATGAAGGGTGTAGTTGATATAGACTTATTGTCTGTTGCTGATTTATGTGTAGGCTATACTAACTCATATGACATTGGTGACATTGATAAGCATAGGTCTGCGATTGGTTACTTATTCACACTTGCAAGAGGTCTAATCAGTTGGAGACTCAGTCTATTGTTGTTTTGCCTATTTTTGTGAGCACATGGAAATCACAAAGGCGATGAAGGAAGCAATATGGATGTAGGGCTTACTGGAAGATTTGGTAGTTGATAGAAGTCTCTAACAATATTTTGTGATGGTCAAAGTACTATTTTTAGCCACAAATTTAGTTTTTCATGCTTGTTACTTGTACCAAGCATATTGATGTGAGGTACCATTTTGTTTGAGACTTGATTACTTAACACAATTTCCAGTTGAAGTAGATAAATACTAAAAAGAATCCAGCATAAATGTTCACAAAGGTACTATCAGTTCAGAAGTTCACCTATTGTATGAGTCTAGTGAACATTAGAGCTCATGATTGATTGTCCACTTGTTTTGAAAAACTACGCTCAACTTGATCCTCTGGGAGGTAGGGTACATAGGCAACCATTTAGGTGCAGTCATTCTAATATTAGAGCCTGTTTATCATCTTCCACTTTTTGAAGTGAAAAATGAGGTGGGTATTGTTGATTTAGATTTGATTTTAAAAATCTTTCTAAATTGTGGAAAGCTTTTAAGTTGCTGATTATTGCATTAATTAAAATCCTAATTACTACCAAAATTAGAAGATTTAATTGATGCTTTGATTAGGAAGGTTTCCTTTTTTTGTCTTGCCTCAAATCTATATAATGGGATTTGAGGGCTATTGTAAAGGGTATGAGAGCTAGAGATAGTCAAATTGTAATCCTTTTATTCTTCAATATAGTGAAATCGTCATCCCCTCCCTGTGGACGTAGGCATCTTCGCCGAACCACATAAATCATCATATTCTTTGTGTTGGTTGTGTGATTTTTTATTTGATTTTCAATTGTGTTTGCACAACCGACTATTCATTAATCATTATAATCCAAGTATTCAACCAGCATATAGAACTCTGCTATTCATTAGCTGTTCAATGGAAACAAAATCAGAGTCTATCAAAAGTCAACTATTATAAGCATTAACCCATTGAATCAGAGCTATTTGTTTGAAATCAATAGAGACAAATGGCAAGATGAGAAAAATTATTTAGTGTTTTTAATAGAACAGTGATACACGCACAAAAATTATGGTCAAAATTTAGATTACAACTTAAAATTATAATTATTTTTATATTGGTTTTATGAATGTTTTTCATCCATTCTCATTAAGTAATATATGAGATGCAAAGCTTATTGTAATTGTTTTATTTAACGCTCTTCTTCTAGTCCCTCATGTTAATTAGTTTTATCCAAAGCGCTTTAGTTTATATTTCAATATTTTATCTTACAACGAGGCACCCTTTGATGAACATTGCACATATCATCTTTGAAAGTGACTATAGATGCATTAAAGTACCACCACAATCATCTCCACCCATGAAATATCCAATGAATACTTTGTTGTAATAGCTTGAACTTTTAATTATTGAGATATTATCCGCTTTGGTCGAATAGATTCACGATTTTATCTTCTTTGTGTTAATTCCCGTCGCATGAAGGGGAGGGGGGCTCTCCCATCCTAGGAGTATTTATGTATGAAAAATTTCAAATGAAATTTCAACCGTTACACAAAAAGATGCCTCAACATTTTATAATCCAAAAAAAATTTTAGTTGTCTAGCAATCCTTGCTGACTTAGAGTATTAAACTCATTAAAAAAAAACTCCAAGACATTATAAATGAAGAGATGTTTAACCTGCTTCCTTGTTTCTTTCTCAATCATAGTCTTCCACTAGTTGAACAAAGACAACACATCAATCGTTTGCTTCAAGAATAACACCCTAACTTTTCAAAAAAAACAAAAATTTTTGATAGTCAAGATGTAACTAGCAACTCCCCAAGATGGAACTCTAGACTTGAATAAACAAGGTTGACCAACTATGTGTTCGGCCCATTATGTTCATGAACAATATTGTCTGAAGCTCGTGAACATGCTCGATAAGAAGCTCATTAGGAACTCAATAAGAAGCTCAATTCTTGTTTGATAAGAAGCTTGATTCTTGATTCTAGTTAGATAATAAGCATAATAATGAAAATAAAATGTTTGTTCATTAAGCTAATGAATATTTAAAAGTAGAACTAGTTTATAGCTTGATAGAGCTCATTTGTTTAAAGTTCGATAAGCACAAAACAAATCAAACATGAACCAAACATAAACCAAATATGAACATTCATCAACTTAAATGAATCAAGCTCGAATTGAACTCAAACGAACATGAACAAGCAAGTAATAAACGAACACCAACATGAACAAGTACATGCTCGACTCAGCTCGATTCGTTTACAACCCTAGTTACCAAAATCAATATCAATTTGTCTTTTATACATGTCTGTAAGATTAATATTAAAAAAAGACAACAAAACATAAAGCAAAAAAACACGCAAACTACATGAAAAATTCTAGACAAATAAAAAATCACGAAAAACAGAGAAGAATTCACTCTATCAAAAACAAATACAAGAGAAAATTGAAAGCTCACTAGCTATAAGCATAAAACTCTAATTTCAAGTATAGAAATATTTGTGAAAAGTAACAAAGGCGCATATTGTGATTGCATCCCTTTTCTACCCCCACATATCCCACGAGCTTTCCAACCCAATCTTAACAAAATTCAGATCACAAACTCTAATATAGCTCCAATCAACTTTCGACAAAAAAATAATTAAATATAGTTAGATGACCAATTCTTTAAATAAAAGAAATCAAGACAA